AGTTGGGTAATTTTCACTTATGAAATGGTACAGTGAGATGGAATCAGTCTTTCCGCTTTTGTGTTGGTTTATTTAGAGCAAAATTGTTCTTGCCATGTTCAGAGTCGTAACATAATCATGCTTTTTTTTTTTAAAAAAAAGGAGAGAAAGAGAGGCAGAGAGAGAGAGAGAGAGAGAGAGAGAGAGAGAGAGAGAGAGAGAAAGTCTTCCATCTGCTGGTTCACTCCCCAGTTGGGCTGCAACAGCTGAAGCTGAGCCAATCCAAAGCCAGGAGCCAGGAGCTTTCTCCAGTCTTCCACACGGCTGCAGGAGCTCAAGGACTTGGGCCATCTTATACTGCTTTCCAAGCCATTGCAGAGAGCTGGATTGGAAGTGGAGCAGCTGGGACTCAAACCGGTGCCCATATAGGATGCTGGCGTTGCAGGCAGCAGCTTTACCCACTATACCACAGCACTTTCCCCAACGTAATCATGCTTTGCACTGTGGCCCATAAAATATGCATGTGTAATAACACAGTTACCACCCATTCCTCAATTTGTATACTGCATTGATGGGGTTTATTGAACTTAATAAATGACTACTTTCAGATATGAGTCTTTCTATTAGATTTATGATTTAAAAATTAACTTTTGCTTGGGTCCTTGGAAGTCTTTTGAAAAAGCTACTTCATTCCATGAAATAATTATGAGTCAAGAGGCCAATGCAGAGAGATACACCTTACTTGACAGGTTTGATCTATCCAGGATGCCTTTCACCACAGTCTGAATTTTAATAGGCTACACCTTTATTGGACCAGGGGGAAGGTCAAAGGGAGCATTGTAAAAGTGCTACACTTTGCTGGTAACTGAGCTGCCCTATGGGGTCTCCACAGTTGGAACACACTTTCACATAATATAGCTTTGGAGTGGTATGAGGACAGATAGACTACTTCCCAGCATGGGAACTGATGGAACTGTCAGCAACACAGCAAGTCCTAAGGCTGTTTTAGGACAACGTAAAATATACCCTGTGCATTTTTATTTTCGAGAGATGATAAAAGCATGGCTGGTACCACCTGGAGAAACGACCAGCCCTGATAAAGGTAAAATGCTAGTTCAGGACCATGGACAGCTGCCCTCGTGTCCTTTGTGCAGGTTGTTAGATGGGATTCAGGGATGTAGGAGAAGGTGCTGGAAGAGCCCTTATCTTTGGCCTTTTTTCCCACCTGATTTTGAATGCTCTCTCACCACAAATCCGCTAGATACAGAGTGAATTAATCACATACGCCACAACACCATTCTTGCAGCCTCTGCCTGCTTGGACCCACTGAGTGTATAGCCTTTTGGGTCTGACCAGTACAATGAACTTTAAAAAAATTCATAGAAAAATGGATTTAAAATATAATTCTATTTCAGTGCAAAAATTTGAAATGCTTGGTTAGTTTTTTCATAACGCACGTTGTCCATACATTTTTGGAAGACTTTGCGCATGTGTGGAAGTGTACTTCTGTGTGCCCTGGTTGTTCATACTCTGACCTTGATGTTGGAAGTGTCTGCAAGGCCGCCCGTCCACCACCTATTCGTTGGCCATCCCCTAAGTGGCCTCTGATGAGTCGAGTACTTCACATGTGTTCATGATCGTGGCCCTCGATGTGGCATTTTCTTCCAGCTATAGCCAAAGTGGTGGTATCAGAGGATTTTTTTAAAGATTTAATTATATGAAAAGGAGAGCTGCAGAGAGAGGGAGAGACAGAGATCTTCCATCTGCTGATTTCACTCCCCAAATGGCCGCATTGGCCATGGCTTGGCCAGGCTGAAGCCAGGAGCCAGGGGCTTCCTCTTGGTCTCCCATGTGGGTGCAGGAGCCTAAGCACTTGGTCCATATTCCTCTGCCTCCCCAAGTGCAGTAGCAGGAACCTGGATCAGAAGTGGAACAGCTATGTCTAGAACTGGCACCCATATGGGATGCATGTTGCAAGTGGTAGCTTTACCTGCTATGCCATAGTGCTGCCTCCCACCCTGAGGATTTTTTTAAAAGTTTATAATGTTTGTTTATTTGAAAGGTAGAGTGACACACAGAGGATGTGAGGAGGGGACAGAGAGAGACAGGGAGAGAGAAAGAGGAAGGGAGAAAAAGAGTATGAGAATATTCATCTTCCAACTGCTGGTGTCCTGTCAAAATGGCTGCACCAACCCTGTCCAGAAACACTGAAGCCAGGAGCCAGTAATTACATCCTGTTCTCCTACGTGGATAGCATGATCATAGGTATTTGGGCCATCTTCAGTGTTCCCAGGTGAATTAGCAGGAAGTTGGATTGGATATTCAAAGCTGGGACTCAAACATGTGCTCCCATATGGGATGGTAGCATCACAAGCAGTGGCTTAACCAACTGTGTTATGGTGCCACGTCCCCACCCCCAAGGTTTTTAAAAGAAATTTCTGTTTGTATTTATTTGAAAGGCAAAGTGAGCTTCCACCTTCTGTTTTACTCCCAAAATGCCTGCAACTGCCAGGGCTGGACTAGGTCAAAGCCATGAACCCAAACTCCATCTAGTTCTCCCATCTGGGTGGCAGCAGACCAAGTACTTGAGCTATTACCTGTTGCCTCCCAAAATGCTCCCTGGCTAAAAGCTAGATCAGAAGTAGAGTAGCTGGGACTTGAACCAGACACTCTGATATGGGATACAGGTGTCCCAAGTGTCAGCTTAACTTGGAGTACCATGACATCTGTCCCTGAAGGTTTTATTATCTCCTGGCTCATTGGTTTTGCTTTGGCATTCCACTTGGCTGAGGAAGAAGATGATCAGATCCAGAGGATGATTTTCCTTCACGGCTTGGCCTTGTGGGCAAGTGGCTGTTTGAAGGACGCTAGGTGCATAATGAGTTTCACTCAAGGTGTACTTTCACATTTTGGCATTAATTAGGCAGTATTATTACAATTGCAATGGGCTTTAAATATTCAAATTTGGAGATATGCTTTTAGGGGCTTTATGTTTGAAACTGTGATTCCTCCCCCCAAGGAATATGTAAAAATGGCAATTATAGTTAACCTGGGAAAGTGACAAGGTCCAGAAGAATGCTTCAATTTCTTTCCAGGATACAAAGTATGTTGCAGTTATTAGGGAATATGCAGTTCTTGAGACTTCCTGAAACCTCTCTTTGACATCAAAGGGAATGTGACGTGAAATTAAAGCAGAGGAACCTGTCTCTGGCTCCAGCCCTTCCCTGTCAGACACTCATCCATAGCTTCCAAGGGCTTCTGTGTATTAGCACAGCATGTTTTAGTGGAAAATATTTCACAAAATGCTGCCTTGCCATTGGACACGACTCTGTAGTCTGCATGGGAAAGGAGCACAGTGGGCAGCATGAATGGTTTGTGACTTTTTCCCTCCACTGGTCAGATGCGTTCACCACAGCTTCTCACTTCTTTTGCCCCTGTGAATAGTGCAATCTGTTGGTAAAGACATTGTCCAAGGTCAATACTGCATTGGCCATTGAGCTAAGAGCTCAGGTGCTAAGTTTCCTACCCACTTTCCAAGTTGTCACTTAAAAACTGCTTAACGTTGACTACCAAGTTTCAACCAGCACAATTCCAAGAGATTAGAATTGTTATTTAAAATAATAAGTGGAGAGGGGTGTGGCAGGGCGATTGTTTTGAACTTTGTCAGGGATATTTCATGCTGTAAATCTCAGACTTCCTAGTGAGGTGGGTGAGAAGGGCAGTTATCTGGTAAAATGTAAGCTAGAGCAAAATGGCCCAATTCCTTAGAATTAAAAATATTTTAATGCTGAATCTCCAGGATCCAGAGGGACCTGTTCATGTTTATTCATGCTCTGGAGAATGGAATCACTGGCCAAGAGGCAATATGTTCTGATTTTGCTCTAAATCCTATTTCCTAAAATCTATTTAAGGGTTTAGGTGAACTCAACAAGGATCTAATAAAGCCAGGTAATTGAACAACGGAGAGGCTGATAAAATTCACAGGAGATTGTGTCGGAGATAAACTATAGCAGGAGATACCATGGACAATAATTTAAACTAATTGTGCACTTGGATGTAAATTAACTTCTTCAGAAGAGAAATTGAAGGTTCCTTCTGGACAGCTTTTTTAAACCATCTGCAGCACCCGGAGTACCTGCTGCAAAGAAACAAGGCAAATAAACTGAGTATTCACTACAAAGAAGCAAATACCCTCAAGATGGTATGGGGATGGTGTGCAGGATTAAACTTCTTCAACTTGCAAACTGAGCAGTTTTTTGCTTTCTCTGTGGGCAAGCCAGGCAACAGTGGGTCTGGAGTGTGCCGAGGAGTAACATACAAAGAGTGATGGAGTTTTTGGAAGGAAAGGGAAGAGGTTAACATAACTATGACCTAGCCTCTTACAGTTTTAAAGTCATGAAGAGTCTAGCCTCAGAGTATAAATCGATGCAAGCTGCCCGCGTGAAAGACGCGGTGTTGACAAGAACAGATTGGCCCACTTTTGTTTTCCCAGATTCTCGTGCTCAGAACACATGGTATTGGGCTTAATGTATGCCTGTGGTTCCTTCTAACATCTGAATGGCCTCCTGTTTATAGTTTTGTGCATGTTGGGAAACTGGAACTGTACACCACAAGATACATATCTCCATGAAAAAGAAATGTTGACAGTTGAATTATCAGCTGTTACAAAACACAGAGGTTTAATCATAAGTGAGAGTGGCCAGCTTCCTCTGCAGTGTAGCTGATAGCAAATGCATCTTGCACGTACCAGGTGTCTGGTTTTGTACATGAAAGCAGGAAGAGCAATGCTGTTTCCATATTGGGCAGACGTGTTTTTACTGTTTCCAGCCTTTTGGAAGGCAAGCATCTGAAAAACAAATTGTAATTTCTGATTGCATGTTAATGCCTGTTGGGGAAGGATTTCTAAGCTGTTAGTGTTTTCTTTTGTGTTTTGGGAGTGGGAAGAAAGACATGTTTTGTGTGCAGTTATCTGAGAAGCCTCCTGATACCTGACTTTTGTTTTCTGTTTTTTCCTTATCTAGGATGATTATTTCAGAAACTGGAATCCCAACAAGCCCTTTGACCAAGGTAAAAGATGCAGTGTTTCTTGCTGTATAGTCCGTGGGAAATGCTGTCCAGCTTTGCTTCCTTGCATGTGGAGTTAATGTTCCCACCAAGGCCAGCTGGAGGTCTTGTTTGATTGACTTTGGGGACAAAATTGGTGGGATGGTGGAAATTATTTTGTCAAAGCTGGTTATTTGTCTGAGACTATGTACAGGACAGGGGTAAATACTTCTCTGAAATTGAACTGACCACTACAAGTCAATGACTGCCTTTCTTTAAGAAAATAGCAAATAGTCAAATGGTTGTCAGAGTGACCCTTGGTGAGTGGTGGGGCTGAATTCAGTGCTGAAGCCGTGGAACGAGCCAGGCCTGGGGATGCTTCCCACTTCACATCAGTCATCAAAATGGAACTTTGTTTCTGAAAAAGGTCAGTCCCAGGACGTGTAAAGGTGCCGGCATTTAATTTATTAAATGAATTCTTCATGGCTTCAAGAAGCTTGTTTCTGAGTGGGTTTGCTGATCACCTGGGCTTCACCTGGTCCTCGGGGGTTCTGCCCCAGCCCCGGTCCTGCAGGCAGAGAACCAGCGCCCGTGTGGCCTCTGTAAGTCACTCGCACTGTCCTCCTGGGGGTTCCTGAAGGTGCAATGCAGACCTGCTGTGAAGGACCACCCTGCCCCGCCGTCCCACCTGCGGCTGCTCTTGGAGCCTGGAACGGGGCGGGCAGTAGGTAGCCTGCACTTCAAGGGCACGTGTGCATGAAAGGCTGGAACTCCGGGAACACGTCTCACCGTCACCTCTCGAAGGGTTCAGGCTTCTGAGAGTCAGCCTCGGTTCTGTAGCTTGAGTGTTCCACGTGCTCGGGATGGTCATCTCAGAGGGAGGCATTGATTGACATGTCCCCCCCCCCCCCCGCAACAGCCCTCGGCTTTGACCCTCAATGGGGCTTTTATTCTCTGCTCTGGTTTTCTTATGAGTAGAATTGGTGTTAAAATCTCTACATACAGGAGCTGGTGTTTGTCTTAGTGGTCAAGACATGGGTTAGGCCACTTGCATCTCACATTGACAGACCTGGGTTGAATACCTACCTCCATTATCTGACCTGAGCCTTCTGCTAATGCAGAATCCGGGAGGCAGTGGTGATGGCTCAGGTAGTTGGTTTCCTACCACCCAAATGGGAGACCTGTTTTGGGCCCCACCTCCACGCTTTGGCCCAGTCTAGTCCTAGGGAGTGAACCGGCAGCTAGAAGAACTCTGTCTTCCTGTTTCTCTGTGTCTCTTTGCCTCTCAAATTAAAAAAAAAAATCTAAAGAAAATGTCCACGTATATTTAGCTCATGTCTTGAAGTAATGAAACATTTTGCTTATAGGTGTGTGCATCTGTTCACTAACTCTCAGTCATTAACTGAGCTTCCAGTGCAGGTACAAGCACCAAGCCAGGTGCTGGGGAGCCACCCAGAGAGCTGTGGTGCTCACTGTGCGGCCACTGATAGAGGGAAGCAGAGAGAGAAGCCAGTCCACAGTTGCAGTGGGGTGTGTTAGTGGGTGTGGTGCAGATGCACACAGGTAGCATGTGGATCTCTGGGTCAGGGCTGTGTGTAAGGTGCAGGGTGTCTGGAAAAGCTTTCCTAGATATTTTAAAAGGTTTGTGGAAAATTGAAAGATAAATGTATGTTAGTGTAAAAATTTTTTTAAATCAGTGCATGTTTTTTTCATAATATGCATTTCTGTGAACCTGCTAAAGGTCTGCCATACACTTGGACTTTAAAAAGTTTACACCAAAATAAACTTACCTTTGTGTTAACACTTATTTTATTTATTTGAAAGGCATACCAATACAGCATAAGGAAGAGGCAGAGAGATTTTCCATCCACTGGTTCACCATTTGGGAATGGCTGCAACAGTGAGGTGTGGGCCAGCAGCCTGGAACTCCATCCTGGTCTTACACATAGGTGCAGGGGCCCAAGTACTCAGGCCATCTTCCGCTGCCTTCTCAGGCACATTAGCAAGGAGCTGGATCAGAAGTGCAATAGCTGAGACTCAAACTGGTGCTCTGATATGGGAAGCTGGTGCCGCAAGCAATGGATTAGCCTGCTGTTCCACTGCACCGCCCCCGATAAATTTATCTTCTAATTTCACTTTTCCATTAACTTTTTAAAGTATCTTCCTAGGTTTCTGAGCAGCCTGCGAGGGCCGTATTCCTTCAGAGTTCAAATGAGGACTGAATCATCCCGATTATTCACACTAAAGTACTGGAAGGTATTTGTCATTTCACTTAGAAAAATTTTTTTCTGAATAAAAATGATCAGCATCTTCAAAACTTTGTTTTTGAAGGCTAAAACCTAAGATACGAAGAACACTCAGGAACAGAGCACCAAATTCCCTGTCTCTTGGGCCTGATAAATGAGCTCTTTGGCTTCTGCTTGTGAAGCGATTTGAATGATAGTAGCAGTGAGCTGCTGATTGTGCTGAGCCAAGAACCAGAAATAGGCTTTCATCCCACAAGGATCAGATGTTAACTAAATAACCATCACGTTTTCTCTTCCACAAAGCTTGCAAACAGATACAGAAGTTTCGCAAGGGAGTCATTTCTGGCTTTACTGATGCACATTGGGGAAGGGAACATGTGAAGGGGGCGTGGCTCCCCACTTGGGCTGTACATGCTTACTTCCCTTGGTTCAGGGGTTAACAGAAGAGTTAAGCTCCAGAATCAGTGTGGTATTTACAGCTACTTACCCAAAAAAGTCCAAACAAGGATTTCCCTCTCCCAGGAGTGATGTCACATCTGCCCAGCAGGTCCCCACCCTACTTGACAAGTGTGTCTGCTCGGCTGGATCCTCCCAGAAAACCTCATGACTTTATGGGGTGTAATTGAGGACCTTGGCAGAGTAGCCCCGATTTGTAGCTCAGGCATATCCACTGTTGGCTATTTATATACAGGGCGGTGGAGCAAGCCAGCATTGCTGAAAAGAGCCTTCACTTAAAATATCAGCCCCAGCAGTTGTCATCAATTACATTGTGTGCTGCTCAATAAAAATGGGAGGTTACTACAGCAGCGCTGACACCACTTGGTGAAATATAAACCGCAGGCGTGCAGGATGCAGAGCACTTCATCTTCCAGGAAATAGGGGCCTTGCTGAACCCCATTGGAAGTTGTCAGCAGCAGAGAGAAGTCATTTTCCATCCTAAGCTGAAAAAGAATCAAACGTAGTTAAGGTGGCATTGTTCTTGAGGGAAACTTTGAGTTGTGAGAAATAGAACATGTGGAAGAGCATTTTCAAAGATTCGTAGATGGCATATATGGGCTGGCATGGGGTGAGCATGCATCGTTGGGGAAGAGGATGCGAGGGAAGGCTGAGGGTGGGGGTTTCTGACACAGTGTTGCAGGACACCCCCAAAACTGGCTGGAGGACATGCTGTAGAACAATAAAACGGGTCTGCTCGCCTAAAACGCAGCAAGCCAGTTAGGGCGCCGTGGCGGAGGAAGAAAGGAGGGGCTTACTGCAAAGGGCACAGCAAGGAGCCGGGCAGCTGTTCTCAGTAGATGGGCTTCTGAGGCGCTAGGGCTCAAGGTTCTTACAGGTTGAAGTTGGGTTGAGAAGTGCAGGGCCAGCTCGTGTCCAGTCCCTGATTGGGCTGCAGGGGCTCGTGGCCTTCCTCGGACTGGTTGGTGATGCCCTGTTCTTAGGGAATTTTGATGATGGTGAAGTGGGCTGCAGTCAGTCCAGGGGAGACGTACAGGTGGTAGTTGCCTGTCCTTTAGGGCTTGAGGTTTCTGGAGAAGAAAGCCCCCAAGACAACACCAAACACCAAGATGGTATCTACCTGGGAAATAAAGGACCAGATGAGTTTTGTGTTCAGGGATCTTGCAGGGCTGCCTAAATCATTCCTTCAGTGCGGGGAGTTAATTTTAGCAAGTGCTTGATTTGCAATCATAAAAGCAGGGCAAGGCAACGTTGAGCTGAGGGAGGGAGACAGGGAGATGAGGACCTGATGGGCTGTAGCATCTGCATCCTAGGCACTCTGCAGGCCTGGGAATCTTTGTGCCAGTGCCACTTGGATATTTATGACACAGTTCATGGACCATACAAGATTAGCAACTTACAAATTAACCTGCTCTGGAGTTACTGCTTGCCATTACCTTGGCAGGGTCAGACTAACTGTTTGGATGTTCCCCACCCCTGGTCTAGGGGCCTGAGTTCAGTAGTGTAGTCAGGTGATTTGAGGCAAGTTGTTAAGGATAATTCATAGCAAGCCCTCGTGTTTGAACTTTGTTTTCTTAGCAATGGAGAGCCAGGGCTGACAGGGCAGTGTCTTGGAGGATTCAATTTGGTGACTTACCAGCTGTGAACATGAGCTGTACTTGCTGAATGATGTGACTTCATGGGATTCTTGTGTGGCTTCTCCATGACACCACTCATTGTCTTGTAGCCTCGGGCTCTGTCACAGGCAATTAGACTTAGCAGTCTGTCTCTAGCTTGACCTCTGAAATGTCCATGAAGATTCTGATTGCCCCAAACTGTTGGTGTGAATAGTTAGGAGACTTGAAATATTCATGGGGCTGGCCTTGTGGCACAGTGGGTTAAGCTGCCTGCTACACCAGCATCCCATGTGAGTACCAGTTTGTGTACTGGCTGCTCCACTTCTGATCCTGCTCCCTGCTGATGTGCCCGGGAAAGCAGTATAAGATGGCTCATAGGAGAGACCTGGATGAGGCTTCTGGCTACTGGCTTCTGGCTTCAACCTGGCTAAGCCCCCACCACAGCAGCCATTTAGGGAGGGAACCACCAGATGGAAGGTCTCTCCATCTCTTCTTAAGTCTCCATTTCTTTGTGTCTGTCTGTCTGTCTCTCTCCCTAACTCTGGCTTTTAAATAATTTTTTTAAAGAAAAAGTATTCAGGAAACAGTTGATGGGCTGTAACTGCTCTCTGTGCTTAAACACATTTACTGGATGCCGAACAGCAGCAATTGTGTGGTGGGCACAGAATTGCCTGCGCGGCGGTTAGAAGACACTGCCACGCCTGGTGCTCACCAGTGATGGGCCTCGCTTGTTCTCTTTAAGGGATTCGCCCGTGCGTCTGCTGGAAGAATATAATAAACATCAACTTCGGGCTTTTCTAAGAATTCTGAGATTAGGGTGAAGTCATAGCTCCTTTTTGCTTGTCATGATTTGATGTCAAATCTCACAGAAGAGACAGACAGGGGCTCAGGGCTGATGGGAAGAATTCCTAACGCAGGTGAGAACTGTCCTCTGTGAAGCTGGCAAAGGAGGACCCCGTGCCGAGAGAGGTGGGCAGGCCGTGCTGTTGGAGACAGCCACAGACAGGCGCGGGTGGGTGTCCTGTGCTGCCGGCGGGGTGAGGTGGAGGCTGCAGGACGGGCCTCTGCAACGGGGCTGCCGGAGGCTGGAGTGCCGGGGGCGATGCCCGAGGTTTCCGTGGCTTCTGCATTGTCCTGTCAGCTGCTTCCTTCAGCTGGCCCCTGGCAAGCCTGGCACTGCACAAGACGTTCAGTGCTTCTCAGTGTGGAAGCTGGCCCAGCAAGGTCCTCCCCGAGACGGCAGGCCCTGTCACATAGGTGTGGGACACCCACAACTCTGGGAGACTCTCGTGCTCTCTGGCAATTGAAAAGAGACCATTGGACCTAGTCTTTTTCTAAGTTGGTCTTGGACCTCATGTTTTCATTTTTGTTTTTCTGCCACACAGCAGGTGCCAGAGAAGTAGTGTGTCTTGTGCAGTGTGCTTTGTGAAGTATGGTCTGGAATCCTGGGGTTTGGAGCTTAGAACTAGTCTGACAGTTACTAGCTGTGTGATTCTGGGAAAATAGTTGACCGGCTCGGAGCCTAAGCCCTCCCACCTGGAGATGGCAGTGATAGTACGCCCAGGACAGCATTGAGCCGATTCAGGGGTCTCTATGCCTGGCATGCAGTAAGTGCTTCTGCGGTCTTGCTTGAGCAAGTACTTGACCCTTTGCAGCCCCCTCTCTTCCCACTCCTTAGTCCCCACCTGGTGGCCCTCAGAGCTGTGGTGTTCTGGAGTTCTTAGGACTGGGTTGGCCCTGGTCCATTTATAGCAGGCAGGTCACTGTTGGGGGCACTGCAGGCCCCCTCAGTGGGTCCCAAGAGGTTCAGGCTATATGATACATTGATTTATTCCCTAGTTACCAAGTCAATGACACTTAACCCCCCTGTCCTGGCTAATAGGGGTAGCGTGGGAGATACCTCTTTTTGGGACACCGCCAGTTGTCAATCCTAAGACCTCCCGTCAGGGTCCTGCGCAGGTGTGGAGTCGTAAGTACAGAGGGATGGGGAGGGCCTGTGGTGTTGGTGGAGTGAGGCTTGATCTGCGTAACTGGGACATTCACAAGATGCAAGGGTTTATACCACTGACACGGCTCAGTGTTAGTCCAGGAACTTTCAGGCGTCACCACTCAGTCTCAGTCTGCACCTTTGGCTTGAGCAGGCTCCCTGGTGCTACTCAGCCCACTTTTGCTGACAAGGCACCTCCAAGGCCCTAATAAAGGTGTTGTCACAGAGACACACTGTCCCCTGTAGTGAGGTGGCCTGAGGGGGAGCACTAGTCAACAGGCCTAGAGGTGAAATTCATTATTTAATAAGTTTATTTATTAACACATTTATTAAGTTACTGAACTACGGTACCCTTCTAAAAAAATAAAATGTGTGCTTTACGATTCCAGATTGCGGGATGAATGGGAAGCCAAGTGAATTCTGACAAGTTGCTTCAAAACTTTCCAAGTAGTCCTTGAAAAAAATGGAAGTTTATTCACAATAGTTTTGCTGAATGAGAGGCATTTTTAGGGAGTGCCTTGGAGAGGGGTGGTAGGGAAGGTAATTTGTGTTTATAACTGCTCCACTCCTTTCATTCCTGGTTGTGTGAAGGTGTCTCCGAGTGATGGAGCTTGATTAACTTAGGTTCTCTGCTGTGGCCACTGTCTGCTCAGGGAAAGAACCATCCATGTGTTGGCCCTGAGACGCCACGGGATGAGACAAGGCGTTTTAGGAGAAGTGGCTGAGGAGTTAACGCATGGGGCTTTTTGTCTTCCAAGACAAGTAGGCAGTGAATGTTTTAGGTCAAGTGAGCAGCCCCTGGAGTAAATCCCACCATCCTTCCCGAGTAGCTTGGCTGTAGCTAAACCTCGGGTGATGCCCGTGAGCCTGAGAGCAGAATATCAACTCGTGGAAATTGGTCTCCAGACAGAAAGAAAGCTCGCCAAATCAAGGGCCCCGTTTACCCTTGCTGCTGACCTGAAGAGAAGAAAAACCGTGCCCTTTGACCTGCAGCCTATTAGACCGAGATCCTGACAAGCTCAAATCCAGGCCAGAGCCTGGAGCTGCTTCGAGGTGAAGATTCTCAGACTCAAGGGGACAGAGCTCTCCCCGTGGAGCTGTGTTTGCGGAACCCCCGCCCGGTGGGTTACTGAAGCGGCTCTCTGTTGCCTGTCTGAAAGGGTGCCTGGGGAGTCAAGATCCTCGCTTCTAAAATTGTGCGTTAGAAGGAGGATTACTGTGAAATTTTACATGATTAGCTTAGTAGAGACCTTAAGTCCCTATAGCTTTCCTCTTGAAGTGGAATTTAACCTCACCCCAAAAAGAGCCCCTGCTTTGCATTCAGACGGCCTTGCGCGGTTTCCAGTTTTGCAAGGCTCTCTTCACCTTAGCTGATCCCCGGAGCTGCTGCTGTTCACAGGCAGCCAGCCTGGTCTGTGGGAAGCATCTTAATCATTTTCTCCTGCTTCTCTCCTGGTTCCTGTGCTTGGTTTCCCCCTCTCTGTCTTTTCCATGTGATTTAGTCACGTGCTTTATGCGAGGTAGTAACTCCCCTTCCTCATATTAGCCAGCCTCCTGCCCAGTGAAATCGGTCTCTCCCCACTGCCCTCGCTGTTTCTGTTTCTTGTTTGTGTCTGTAAAATAGGTAGCATTTTTTTTTTGACAGGCAGAGTGGACAGTAAGAGAGAGAGAGACAGAGAGAAAGGTCTTCCTTTGCCGTTGGTTCACCCTCCAATGGCCGCCGTGGCCAGTGCGCTGCGACCGGCACACCGTGCTGATCCGATGGCAGGAGCCAGTACTTATCCTGGTCTCCCATGGGGTGCAGGGCCCAAGCACTTGGGCCGTCCTCCACTGCACTCTCTGGCCACAGCAGAGAGCTGGACTGGAAGAGGAGCAACCGGGACAGAATCCGGCGCCCCAACCGGGACTAGAACCTGGTGTGCTGGCACCACAAGACAGAGGATTAGCCTAGTGAGCCGCGGTGCTGGCAATAGGTAGCATTTTTAAAAATGAGGGAGTGCTGATTTTTTTAAACATTGCAGCTCAATTCTGCTGGGGAAGAAACAGAAAACTATTAACTGAAATGTCGGCACACCCCTGCTTTAACTCTGTCTCTCTGCTTTGAAGTTAGATCAAGTTAAAAGTTTTCTCTTTCATCTTGGGCTGCCTTTGCCTGCTTGCTTATTTTAAAGAAAGAAACATCAGATATAAGATTGAAATCCTATGGGTCCCTTCTTGGTCTTTTCCATTTTATTTGCTCTCAGAGTAACTGTATCATTAATTTGCTTCTCTGTCCAGTTTCGTAGACTTTGAGGGTTTATGTGCATGTGTGCAGTTACATGTTTTACAATACAGTTTAATTATCTGCTTTACGTGTTTATTATCCTTAATATTTTCTGAGCTTTTCTGTTTTCATAGTTATCGACCTAGCTGATTCATTTACCCTGTAAGGTTCTTATTCTGAGAACAGAACACAGGCAGTGTAACCATTGTGTTCCCTCACTGAAGTGTGTGTTGCCTCCGCCTCTTTTCTTGCTGGGGCTCCTTTTTCTTAGCATTTCTGACCACACTGATTCTTCCGTTGGGCCCCCGGCCTACACAGGGTGGGACACGGCTCTGCCACTGTTAAAATGGGCAACTTGGGGCAAATCCCAAAGGCTGTCTTGACTTCAGTTTGCCCATTTCTAAAATAGAGAGCTGGACCTGGGACCCTTGCCACCTATGATTGTTCATTTCAGGCAGCATGGTTTTCTGTTTTCTCGTGAAGGAAGAAAAATGAGAAATTTGAAACATGACTCCAGAGGTTGCAGTTTAACCAATGAAGTGTGAATATAACTGCAGGAAGCGCAGTGGAATTAAATGGGCCTTTTCACCATCAGGTGTGGGGGGGAGGCCCAGAATGAAACGTCAAAAAGACCAAACTGGGAGATGTTTTCTTTTGCATAGAATCTCATGGAACACTGCCCAGTGGGGAGGACAAGCCAGGGGTTTGAAGAGCTCGGGTCCCCGTCAGGCCTCTCCCACTAGCTCACTGCATCCGTTTAAATAATCTAACACAGCCTTTGTGATTCCCTGTGTCCACTGGGGCTAACGTTTTGTAGGACATTTGTGCAGACCAAAAGTGATTCTGCTTGCAAAGGGCCGAGGAGTGGTGGGTGCTGTCTCCTGGCGACCCTCCCTTCCTTTCTGGCCTGATGAGCTCTGGGGTCCCTCTATGTCATTCTGTTTCCTCTCACAGGACGTGGGCAGCCGTATGAGTGTTTGTGGGGGCTTCTGGGAAAGGCTCCCAGGGCCTGTACCCCTAGAACCAGGAAGCAAAGCCATTCCGAGTTGGGGTTCCTGCCTTCGGATGAAGTAGCAGAGTCAGGAAGGGCAGCAGCGTGCCCCCTGCAGTGATGGCCCAGGTGGCTTCCTGGTTCCTGAGTCTAAGGTCATTTCAGCACAATCAGCTCCATTGTGAAGATGTGTTTATTACCTTTCCCCAGACTCTTCAAATGTGGTGTGTGTTTTATAAAAAGGAAAAAAAAAAAAAAAAAAAAAAAAAAAAAAAAACACCTTTCCTGCTCTTCTGCCTGCCAGAACAATCACCCCTGACTTCGTTGTATTGTGTGTTGAGTCCTGATGAACCAGCCTTAGTTTGAGAAAAGTCTCAATAGGAAAAAAATGTCAGCTGAATTTTAAAATTGTTGAAGATTGCTGTTTCAGTTTCCCTTATTTGAGCGTGTCCAGTGGATTCTAGTGTGTCCACGGTGAGGAGAACGCTGATTAGAGAAAATCTGCCCAAATCGCCACACGTGCCCTCCTGCGATGGACACATGGTGCTGCTAGGGTCCTCCGTTGTGTTGCAGCAGTCGATGCTGGACACCTGCGAGGTGTTCGCGCTCCCCGGTCACCACGTGTGATGAGAAGGGCCCTGAGCTGTGCGATCTCCAGGATTGGGTTCAACTCCCAGTTCTTCCCTTTCACAGCTGTGCGTACCTAGGCACACACTTCACTTCTCTGAGCCTTGGTTTCCTTATCTGAAATGCAGAAAGCATGGCATTGACGGGGAACTGTGCAACTCCAGACCCCATCTTAGTATAATAAAGGCAAGGAAGCCACCGCAGCAGGTGGAGCCCTGGTGCTTTGTTTTGGAGTCTGGGTTTTGAGCTGCCCACTTAGCCCATCAGAGGGTGGGTTAATGGAGCAGGTCATTACACACAGAGGCCGGGAAGAGGAATGTGATGGTGTCCTTCCTCAGCGAGGTTAGGTCCATGGAGCGGAGAGAGATAGGAAGAGACGTCACGTGCCGACGTGGAAGGGGCCTGACAGCAGGGGCTCTCGGTGAGCCCTTCCTAGGTGAGGTTTGGGGGAAGTACCAGAGAAGGAACGGCTTGGGGGGAGGCAGGCAGCTGGGTGGGCTTGGCCTGGAGGGCGGGTCTAGTGGGGAGACAGGTTCCCAACAGCCGCTCACCCAGGTTGCAGGAGCGAAGTTTTCATGCAGTAGACGGTTTGGGCTCTGATGCCACAATTCCATTGACTGGGTGGTTTGTCAAGAACTGAATTAATTTCTCCGTTCTGGAAGCAGCGAGTCTGAGGCCGAGGTGCTGGCACTATTGGGTTCTGGTGAGCACCCCCGTTCTGAGTCTCCTCCTTGGATCTTTATCTGGTGGGAATGTGCAGGAAAGAGAGCCCCAGAATTCTCTGGGGTCCCTCTTTAAGGCCACTCTCTTTGGCCCACAAAATAACAGTGATAGAATGAGATGAAGAAGATGGAAAATGTTAATGCGGCTGCACCAAGGCAGAAGATCCTCAGCTGGTGAAAGAGAGTCTTGTGGCCCCACAGGATCTGCTGTTGTGTCGTGGCCCCGGACGTGGCTGACCTTGTGCCATCACGAGTCCTTGTATCACACTCTGCTTCACCCACTTTCCCTCCCTCACCCCAAGATTGGCACTGAGTGTGCTCCATTCTCCTCCTGCCATCGCTTCAGGCCTGTGAGTGCTCAATGTCCCTGCAGGAGCCGACTGGAAATGTGACTCAGATGTGCTCAGTTCTCAGATCGGGAACCAGATGTGTGATAGCGTGACACGTCTCTCTCTCTCTCTCTCTTTTTTTGACAGGCAGAGCGGACAGTGAGAGAGAGAGACAGAGAGAAAGGTCTTCCTTTGCCGTTGGTTCACCCTCCAACGGCCACCACAGCCAGCGCACCGCGCTAATCTGATGGCAGGAGCCAGGTGCTTCTCCTGGTCTCCCGTGTGGGTGCAGGGCCCAAGGAGTTGGGCCATCCTCCACTGCCTTCCTGGGCCACAGCAGAGAGCTGGACTGGAAGAGGGGCAACTGGGACAGAATCCGGGGCCCCGACCGGGACTAGAACCTGGTGTGCCAGCGCCACAGGTGGAGGATTAGCCTAGTGAGCCGCAGCGCTGGCTCGACACTTTTCTTTTTGTTTTCTCTGTCTCACTCACCAAAAGGCAACTTAGAAGCATATGTAAGTAGCAACTAGTAAAATGAATAGGTAACTATTTGGATATAAGGAAAGGCTGTAAGTAACTTAAAACCACAGCCACGGCAGCGCTCACACTCACACTCACACTCACACTAGGTAGATTTATGTGAACTTCTGGAGCTGAGCACAGGGAAGGAAGCACACAGCCCTCCGTTCTCACGATGGGAGCACCAGGCAGGAGGCACACAGGTGCTCCAGGTCTCTGGCCCAGGGGTCCCAGGTCGGTGTGTGTCGGGGTGGACCTAGGTGCCCTTGCTGGATCTGCCAGGGAGTCCTACAGTGATGATGTGATTGCTTCCTCCACCATCGGTCTGCCTGCCGTGGTGCTTAGTGCTAAGTACAATTCTAGAACTAACCCAGCAGTAGGGAGTACACAGCCTTCGGGCGGTCTGGCTTGGTAGACAGAGAAAACTGAAGAATGGTCGGCCTGCACCTTCATCCAGGGATACTCGGGTTGTTTTGCTTCCTGTCGCTGTTGAACACTGGGAGCAGAGAGTTCTGGGGTTTTCTTGGCAGGAACCAGGTATTCATTCCGTGCTGCCAACTAATGGAAGCAAATGCATCTCCTCTCTTCAGCCTGGTGGCAGGCAGAGCCAGCCTCCTTGGTAGACATTTAAAATTCAAGCCAGAACCTCTGTACCTGCCTGCACAGTCACCTCCCTCCCTGCTGAGACTGCTGATCAGCTCAAACCCATGGACCAGTGAGTGATTCCGGACATCAGCCTTCTTCCCTCAGACCAGGCAGTGCTAGTGACAGTGCGTGGAGTGTAGCTGTGTAATGTGGGTTTGCATGGCAGAAAATGCCCCCCTTGCATGCATTTTGTGCATCTGTACCACCCGTTTCTCAGATGAGTGCAGTGCCTTTTAAATTGAAGACTGATTGATTGATTTGAAAGGTAGAGTGGTGGGGAGGGTGAAAGAGATCTTCCATCTGCAGGTTCACTCCCCAGGTGGCTGCACCAGCCACATCTGGGGCAAACTGAAGTCAGCAGCCTGGAACTCCATCTTGGTCTTCCACATGGGTGGCAGGGACTCAAGTCCCTGGACCGTTTTTCCACTTCCTTCCCAGGCACATTAGCAGAAAGCTGATTGGAAACAGAGCAGTTGGCTCCTGAACCAGTGCTCTGAGACGGGCCACCTGCAGCACAAGTGGCGGCTTAACCCACTGTGAGACAACACCAGTCCCTGCAGTTACCGATATTCTTGATAAAATCACATTTTGTTTAAAGACACTGCCAAAGTCATATTGGATTTTGTTATCAAATTCTCAGCCACTGACCGAACTATCAGGGTGGCTGTCTTTGAAGGGACAAGAGGAAGGTGCAATTCACAAGCGACTTTCAGGCAGTAGAAAGCGTTGCTTATGGTGGAAGAATTTGGTCACATTGACACTGCAGTTTCATTTTAACTTTTTTCAGGCAGGTAGAAAAAAGCAGGCATGAAAAAAATCTTAACAGAAACACACAGAATACTTGATTCTAAGCCATGTCTGTTCTTGGTGACCCTGCTAGGATAAATTACTTGAAAAAAACTTCAGTTTGGAAAAAAATGTAATTTTTGGAAAGAAGCCATATGAAGTTGGCAGGCATCTGCTGATAATGATGATTTTTGCTGTTGGTGAGGTCCATCTGAGTCGTTCTTTCTGTCGGTGATGAAGCAGAAGGAGATTCCTAGTTAGTGATGATAAAATGACGCTGTCGGATTAGGGCTGAGCTCTCATCATTCTGCTTTCATGGCAACTCGCAGATTTCTTCATCCAGAAATGGCGTTAAGTGCTCTGTGCATAGCTCTAGCAGGAGGGATGGCTGATAAAACCGAGTGGTGTGCGCCAGCCTCAGTATCAGCCAGCGTGCACCTGAGTTTCCAATTCTCTGATGCAGTCATTGCACTGGGGTGTTTGTTGGGATGTTCGTGGTCAGGGTGTCGAGGATTCTGTTTGGCTCCAAAGCGAGGCTGTGGACCTGAGTAGGAACTGCAAAGAGCTGACACTGGTTCAGCCGAAGCGGTGTAGGGGTGGGGTCGGACCCCGTGGAGGAGATGAGTCACCCTCCCAGGGGCGTGCACATGTGAGACGTGGCAGTCCTGTGCCTCGTCTGCTCTAGAGGAAACTGAGCACTGGAGAGGGAGGGGGGTGCCACTGATACTGCCTCCCACCTTGAGTTTTTGTAGTTCTGTGAGAAGGCAGATCTGCTGAGAGGGGATGATTTATCTTACGGAGTCATTGCCCAGAGAATTTCCTCAACCAACCTACATAAGTGTTGCTTCTAAGGTGGATACAGCTTCCTAGAGTTCTGTGTGTGCACCTCTGTGAGACGACCTAGGGAGGTCAGCCTACAGTCAGAGCCTCATTCGTTGTCAAACAAGGCACTGAGAGAGGGAAGTGGCTGAGAGGCTGTGCGTGCCTTATAAAGTAATAGGTCCAATCAGTTTAGAGTCTCCGTTCCATGAATTTGGGGCTAACCTATTCCTCAGTGGATTCTGCCGTCTCTTGCCATAATCATGGGGACAGAGGAGCCTGGGCCAGGCTTTACCTTGCTGGAGCTGCGGATGCAGGCACGTGTTTGCAGGAGCAGTGTGACTGCTCACTGTGAGGCTTGGTGGAGTCTGGTGTCTTCCCCCGAGGAGGGAAGCTTTCTGTTTTAGATGCTTGAGTAAGGGCAGGGGTGAACGCAGATGGATGTGGGAAACCATCCTGCTTAGAGCACACACTGAGGGCCCAGAGGAGTCTGTGAGCCTGCTCTCACAGTGTCCAGCTGTGTGTCCAGCCGTGCAGCATGGAGCCACATTCACAGATCCCGGGACACAGCCCCAGAGGTCATGTGCTCGTAAACCCCGCACCTGACGAGCTCAAGTTGGTGGAGAGATCTGCAGTGCATGCCGGACCCGCTGTGCTTTACATCACGCCGTCTCTGACAGCGAAGGACTCTGCAGCTCCCGGATAAGGAAGGCTTGCTGCGTAGTGGGCTTAGATTTGGTGTGCACTGATCTAGTCTTCCTCAGAAGAGAAAGAGAAGGGGCTGTTCCTGCCTCCAGGGACACCCACATGGAAGCCCTTGGGGGTGGGAGTCAGCAGGGAGTGGCTGTCCAGCAGAGCGTGCAGTGACGGCTGTGTGCAGAGCCGTCGTGGTGGCTGGCATGTCCTCGGGACCCTGCTACCCTCCCTTCTCTGCTCTGCTCTGTACGTGTTCCATTTTTCTTCAAACTCTGATTTCCTCCTTGAGTTTGATCTTTCGAGTGTGCTAAATGGAAGATCATCCTGGTGGTGTAGACTTTCTATCTAGTATGAGGGAGAGAGAGAATTGTAGTTAAGGAAGTCGATTATGGATCTCTTAGCCATTTGGCTGTTCATTTAAGAGTTTAATGTTATATAATGATTGCATGGCACATCACTATTACTGCCCCAGGGTCCCCACACATATCCCCCAGCTTGGAAGAGTCCTGGCTCTCTTTATGTGACCTGTCCAACTGATTCTTGAAATCTCAGTTCATGTCGTGCTTACTCAAGGGAGCCTGTACTGATTGACCGGAGCCTAGATTGGGCCGTCCTCTCTTAATAGGCTTTACTATGCATTCTTTCATTTCTGAAGACTCATTTTCCTGTTTGTCTCTTTGTCAAGGCTGTGGTTTCCTTGGGAACAGAATGTGTACTGCTGTATTTCCAGGGTGCATCCTGGGCTGGACACAGAAGTATGGAGTTAATAGTTGTTGAATAAATTATAATTACCATTTATTACACACCTATAGCGTGCCAGTACTGTCACTTCTCTTAAAAGACGTGTGGAACCTGCACAAGGACAGCACCAAGGACAGCTCTGCATAGGGCATACTTTTTTTGTTTTTTGTTTTTGTTTTTAAAGGGAAAGGTTTATTGTTGGGTGGGGGAAGCCTGATGGGTGGGGAGAGATGATTACGGTTAGAGAATAAGAGAGAGGAATCAATGAGAGGGCACAGTTGTGAGAAACAGGTCCTGTTGTAAGTATGGTGTTTTTACAGCAGGGAAACCGGGCTCACATCCTAAGAATACCACAGTCAGCAGCATGTGAAAGGATTGAGGAAGTGTGTACATATTGGGAGAAGTATTCATAATTACATGAAAATGATAATTATAAAAAAGCAAAAGAGGACACCTAAAATGACTACTTATGTAAACAAAGTGCTTATGTATATATCTCAGGAGTGCTTGCATTTGCATGTCAGCCTTCTGAATCCATGGCAACTTGCAATCATTGTCTCCAAGGAGCGGGCTGGGAGGGGAATGAGAAACTTGAGTTTTCACTTTGGGCTCTTTGATTGGTTGTCATTTATAAATGTTTACTGTGAGCTGTGTAACTTTTTACATAATAAGTAAAAGAAGAAGGCCTTGCTGCATGCCATCCTGTGGCTGTGGTGGCCGAGGGGATTTGAACTCTGGCCCTTGTGGCTGTGAAGTCCCAGTTGTGTTCAGGGCTCCTTTTCTGCGTCTGGCATGGTGGTTCTCACATCGGAGGTTGTGCCCCCAGGATGCCTGGCAATGTCTGTAAGTGGTTTGGGTGGTCACAACTTTGTCATGCTGGCGTACACCCCCAGCACACGGGGCAGGCACACCAGAAGCACCCAGCTCTCGTGCAGGAGTGCCGAGGCTGTGGAGCCTGCTGTGGGCTGGCAGCCAGTCCCCCTCATCACAAGCCCTGGCTCTGTGATGAGACCTGGGTGTGGCTGGTGCCCACTCCAGCCCCAAAGAGATCATCAGCCATGAAGTTGTGGGATGTAAGCCCGGCCGAGGAGCGAGGGGCCCAGAGCAGCTGTAGGCTGGACATTTCGCTGCCCGATGGACATGGCAGAAGTGGAATCATGTGTTGACCTTACCCCGATGAAAGCTTGGCAAAGAGAGGCTGAGACTGAAACTAGTTGGGCCGCTGGGGAAGTGATGACTGAGAGAGAGTTCTGTGAGGGTGCAGGGTGGGCGGGAGCTCCCCTGTGGCTTTGCATCACCGGCTGAAGACCTGAGCTTCCTCTGGAGTGTGGTGGAGTCTGAGCTGTGTTCCCATCGTCCCCTTGTCTGACCACGTAGCAGCTCCTTCACTGCCTGGAAGCAGCTGTCATTTTGGCTAGTGCTGCAGGCACAAGCAGAACGCAGTCCTGGCCCAGTCGCTTTCTGATGACTCCCTGGTGACTTAGAGGACCCCTCCCCAAGCTGCAGGGCTGCATGGTGGGTGCTCTGCGGGGTCCCTGAGCCTCAGCCATGGTGTGTCCCAGGGAGGGTTCTATGAAACCATTTCATTTGGCCGTTCTGCTTCACAGAGGGGAAACTGAGGCCAGAGAGGAGCTCTCCCTTGGCCAGAACCTCTGCAGCTGGTCCGCCCAATGCAGACTCATCCTCAGCCCCTGGCCCCAGCCCTGTGGCCAGCCCCTTCCAGGCTGCAGTGGGGAGAAGAGAGGGTTGTTGTCCTTGTGTGTGGGCTGGAGAAGGTTGTCACGTGTGCCTGCAGTGTTCCTTTGTCCCTCCCTCCCCGTCTGTCTTGAGCGTGGTCAATGCCTCTCTTCATCCTTCAGACAGCTTTGCAGATTCTTTCCCACATGAACCCCAGCTTTGAGTTTCTCTCCCATGTAGGGCTGTGGACCTCCAAGTTCAGCCATTGCTGGGGCCCCAGGGTGTGTGTTACAGTGCTGATCCAGGGCTCACTCCCTTCACAGTGATGAGGTTCAGAGGGTCTAGGAGGGGCTTCCCTGTTAAGTGGTGTAAGGACTCACCTTGAGCACCGGTGTGGCGGGCATTCCACAAAAGTGACTCGGAACAGCAGCCAGAAACCTACTCTGTGTCTTTCAGCTTGTTCTTAGCATCTCGCTTCCAGTCTCCATGTGCCCCAGTCAAATGGTATGCAAGGTTGCTTGAAGAGTTTTAGAATGTGTGCAGCAGAATAAGATCCAGGGTGGTGGGTGGGAGTGGCTGTTCATGGCAGGCTCCAGGTATGGGATTCCCTTAAGTCACATTGTCCTTCAGGAGCTTCCCAGGGCTGATAGATTTTGAGTCAAGCACTACAAAGTGAGTAGCTGAGTTGGAGATGAGAGAGGCAGTGAAATGCAGAGGTAGAAGGGAAGGCTGTGGAAGCTTTGCACCGGGTAAGATGTGTTCTATTTGATTGCAGGAGGAAGAACAGATCATAGTGAGTATAGTCTCAGGTCAACTTGAGTTTGATGTAAGGAATAGTTCACATCAAATGGCATTAGTAGTAGACTCCGGGGAATTTGCTGGTCACTTTACAGAGATTGTCTCTGAGGTTTGTGGTATTGCTGTCTGTCCTTACTGTTACCCCACTTAATAGATGATGGAACTCATAGCTGATGTAATTAAACAGCTCACTACATTTACCTAGTGATGAAGTGGGTAGAGAGAACTCAAATATTGATCAGGTTCACCTTGAATCCTGAAGTGTGTCCACTCTACTGTTTCTTGTCAGTAATGACGGTTGTCGGTAATGATGGAATGAGCTGCCTGGAAGGTGGTGGAGCGTGGGGAAGCAGCAGGAGGAATTTTTCCTGAAGGTGCTGCTGTTCCTGTTGATCGGCACCACTGGCTATCATACGTGTGCATGCGTGATTTGGAGAAGCTGGGACATTAAACATTAACACGGCTTCATTACTGCTGGACTTCTGAGAGTCTTTCATGTGCCAGCATAGGTTGTGTTCTTCAAAGACAGGCGATGTATACAGTGATTCCCAAACTTACCTGATCATGGATTCCCTCCTTAATGAATATCTTCAGGTAGGTTAGGCTCCTTAGAAGACATTTTTACAAAGGCACCTGTGAGAGAACATGTGTTCATTGGGCCGCATGCTGGCCTGTTTTCTTTGCCTGTAATGGGAGATCTGGGGCCGGTGACTTATAAAGAAAAGATACTTATTTTGCCTCACATTTCTGGAGGCTGGAAAGTCCTGCGTTGGGTGGGCGTGTGTGGTGAGTGCCTCATCAGCATCTGCTCATGCATGCAGGTATGTGTGTAAGAGAGGAGAGGGGGCAGACTCTCTGTGTGGCCAGCCCTTTCCACAAAAGAGCATTTGTTTGTGACCCAAACTTCTCCCAGCCCTGCTGCATTTGGAATGAAGCCTTAACTGGAGTTTGGATGGAGAACAACTCTATTCAAACCAGAGGTGTCTGACCTCAGGTCCCCCAGCTGCCACATGTCTCCGTGATCCCAGCTCTACAACCAACAAGACATGCTGACGGAGGGGCACCTTCATCCAGCACGCACTGGTGCTTTTCTCCCCCAGGTTCTTTTATTTATTATTTATTTTGCTTAATATTTGTTTATTTGAAAGACTGACGGAGACAGAGAGAGAAAGAAAAGAGATCTTCCATCTGCAGCCTGATCCAGAAACTCAGAACCCCATCAGGGTCTCCCATGTGGGTGGCAGGATAACAAATACTTGTGTTGTCACTTGTTGCCTCTCAGGAGCACTAACCAAAAGCTAATTCAGAAATAGAGTAGCCAGGGTTCGAACCAGCATTGCTATATGGGATGCTGGTGTCCCAAGCACGGCTTGACCCACTGCGCCATGATGTCTGCCCCCTCTTCCAAGTTATAGATGCTTTGTACTACCCTCAGTTTTGCGTTCATTGTTAAGGGAAAATTTTGAATATTGAATTAATTTCCTTTTCACCTTGTGTTGTAACTATTGATTTGAACCAACAATTGGTATAATGCTCATTTGAAATATAATTATTTCTTATAAATGTTATATGAGTCTTGAGAATGGCCTTGCAGAGCCAGGAAGTGAAGCAAAGATGCTCTTATATCCATGTGTTGTTTCCATTTCTGAACCAATTATTTTTCTAAAATTGCTTTTTAGGTTGGCTATTAAGTTGGAAAGAGCATTGATTTTTGGCATCAAGGAGACTCCTAATGAAACATGATGTGTTTACTGTTAATTACGTTAGCTCTCACCTGGCAGTTTAATAGCAGTATTTATTTTTGACTTAGAGTGGGATGAGTGGTCATGTTCATTAATAACCTCGTTCATTTTGTGGGGTTTGGGAGAGAGAATTATGATCTCTTTATTGAAATCCTTGAAGAAGGGGTAGGGATTCTGTGCACCAGTTAAGAAGCTGCTTAGAATGCCTGTATCATGTATCAGAGTGCCTGGGTTCAAGTCCTGGCTCTGCTTCCAGTTCTAGCTTTTTGCTAATGTGCACCTGCGAGATAGCAGGTAATGGCTCAAGTACTTGGGTCCCTGCCAGTCAATTGTATTAGACCCTGGTGGAGTTCTCTGCTCCTGGCCTCATCCTGGCTCCATCTTGGCTGTTGTAGGCATTGAGGGTGCAAAGTGGCAGATGGAAGATCTGTCTCTGTGCCTTTCAAATAAAAATGAAAATAAACAATAACAATTTAAATCCTTAGAGGATTTTTCTTTATTACTCAGAGTTTAAAACCATACCTTTAAAAACTTGACCCTTTCCTACAAGCTAGTTTCTCTAATTGATGTGAACTTTGTCCAGGACAATGGTCAGTGATAGAATGAGTATTTAAAAAATAATATGCAAAGGGCTTTAAGAGAGTCTGACTTCCCCACTCTGCAGGAGGCTTGGTCTTTAGCTCCCGTGTTGGAGGGCACTAGTCCAAGGTGACAGAAGTAACATGGCAGAGAGCAGCTGGTGGGGACAAGGCTGCCCAAGTGCCAGCAGGGGCACAGAGCCTTGCCCAGTGGAGTGCTTTGCAGTCCTAATGGCAGGTCTGGTGGCTCCAGTTCCTTTCCTGTGGGTGTGAGCACCTTCACTGAGGGTGGGACAAAGCCTTGGTGACCAGCAGCAGGTGGGCCCCTGTCCCTTCTCCTGCCTCCATGTTCAGGGCTGGTCACTGCATTTGTTTAGTTCTTCTCTTGCAAGTCAGTGTTTGCATTTTGGTGCTAAGGTTTTTTGGAAGCATCTAAGATTCAGCCCCATTTTCATGCAGATTTTTTTCAGAAATCTCAAAGAATTTTTTTTTTCAAATTCAAACACATTTTTCAAATGCTTTTTTCCTCCCAAGTCCTTCATTGTGAAAATCACACATTGGAAGCCAGGGGCTCCCGGTTACCTGAAGGGCAGCGTGCTTCCTGGTGCAGTCTCTCCAGTTTCAGCTTAAGGCTGCATTTTGTACACGTTGGACTTCGGGGGTTTTGTTTTTGTAGGCCCTGTGCTGCAAGCAGACTCTCCAACTCCCCAGTCTTGTGCTTTCGCGTACCTGTATTGAACGCAATATAGTCTCTTTATAGGCAACATGTTATTTTTATATGCCTTACTTTATTACACATGAAATGAAACCATCTCTGACATTTTCTATACTCACTGAATTTTTATTAGAGTTATATCTTTCATCAATAATAACACAAGCTACAACACCTTTCTCTGGAATATTTACTGAGATTGCTGCCGCTGTTGGGACAGAGTGCTGTTGCCACCTTATTAGAAAGAGTTTCATCCTCATTGCTTTTATCTCGTTAGATAATCCTTTAATCCCTGTTCATTGCCCGTGGATTCTGCCTCTCCTTGCCAGTGCTGTTAACACAAACCCGCAGCACAGCGTGGTGGGTGAGGCCGGACTTCGAGTTTCCCAGAGTTGCAGCATCAGTCATTCGTTCTGGCGGCTGTGGTGACTAGCACTGGAGGTCTCGTGCCTCAGGCCAGCCGTGTTCGTTCATAATAAGGGATTTAGCAGATACGTATGCAAGCGGAAAATTGAATCAGTAGTGCTGTCACATTACAGGATTCCTGCAAAAATGGAAGAGTCGAATTGGGCAGAACTCTGTCTTCTGTGGGTTAGTGCAGGTAGCACAGGGAGCTAGGAAGTTTTCTACATGAATAAGCCTTTCATTATCATACAGGTTTCGAGCCAGTTTGTTCTGGTGGGTGCCCACGTAGGAATGTGGCAGTCAGGTACAAATAGGTACCCTTTTTCCTACTGATTTTAGAAATCACCTTCTTGTTGATGTCTTTTAGGAAAATGAGAGTGAAAACACAGGAAAATAGAATGGCAGTAGTGCCGAATTTAAAGTATAAGATGCTGGCCTGCCTTTGACGTTCGGGTGCATTTCACCGCGATTTTAACAGATTATAAAGGAAGTGGCTGTGGTGTGGGGCCTGCACACATACACCTCCCTGTGCTTCCTCCCAGGAGCAAGTTGTTGTGAAAAATGGAACGTGGGGCTCCAGACAGAGCCCTGGGCTCCCCCAGGGACACAGTTGTAGGTGTAATGAAGAACCTCCCGGAGGGTTTGGAAGAGTTTCTGAGAAATCATACCGCAGAAGGTGATCACATTCCTCTATCTTTTCTTTGTTTATTGGAAACAGTTCTCAAGTAGGCAATGCATTCTGTTCAGAAAGGAAACTAACTAGGAAAGCATAGAGTAAAAGGTCTCCTTGTGCCCAATTTTCCCACTTTGTAACCACTGTTATTAGTTTCTAGTGCCTCTCTCCAGAGATATTACAATGCATACATTACCATGTGTGTGCGAATTCTTCTTTTCCTTTTTTTTGTTTTGAGATGTAAAGCGTATTATGCACAATGTTTCCCGCCACGCTTTTTGCAGGTAATGATCGATCTTGGAGATATTTCCATATTCATGCGTAGATATTCTTGGCTTTTCCTCTACAGCAGTCTGGCATTTCAGTGTACAAGTGGACTGTGATTTGTTTAGCCTGTCCCCTATTGATTGACATTGGGGTTGCGATGAATAACCACACATTCATCACCTCCCAGGTTACCTGCTAGTGCTTCAACATGCTGGCTTCCCCACAGAGAAGTTCAAGTGCATTTGTCATTTTGATGATTATTGGCACATGCCCCCACTCTCCTCTTTATGGACAGTATTTGGAAATAGCTGGTTTGAAACAGCCTTGCTGGCTATGTATCTCTTCATGTTCTCTGCCTGTTTTCCTGGTGGGTCCTTGGTCTTGCTAATCTCTAGAAACTCTTTACGTATAATCTGAATGGAAAATAGAAATTCCGAGGAGTGGTGTTTGTCTTTAGCTTGTGGTATACAGCCATGCCAAAGTTTTATTTTCGTATGTTCATATTTATTAAATGAACTTTTTATGATTCTAGATTTTTCAGGTATGAATTAAAAGGTTTCATCTCCTACAAGATTGAAAGGAATTTTCCATTTTTTTCTGCCATGATTTTCGTATAACTTGAAATTTATTCTGGTATCTGTTGTAGAATGTAGACCAATCTTTTTCTGGAGATGCTATCTCTTTGTCTTTGCTTCAGTAGAGGAATATAAAATTTTTTGAAATACCACTTTTACTATACATTAAATTCTGATTGACATTTGGATTGATTTCTGAACATTGTGTTCTTACGCATTTGTTTTCTTGTGGTCATATTCCAATATTTTCATAATATTTATGCTGTAATATGTTATGGTCTCTGGCAAAGCTGATATTTTTACATATTTGTTTTTTAAATTTGTTTACAGATAAACTTACATAATCTGCAAGGTAAAAAACAGTTTTTCTTAGGAGAACATTATGCTTATAAATTATTTTAAGAAGAATCAACATAGCTGTGTTTGTCTTCTTATGCAAGAACATGATATATCTTCTAATCCGGTCAAACTTTCTTTTGCATCCTTCAAAGTGGATTGAAAATTTTCTTTTAATGATTTTTTTTATTGGAGAGGGAGATCGACCATGAGGTACCATGAAATCGTACCTGCTGTTTCCCTCTGCAGATGCCAGCAGCAGTTGGAGGACTAAAGCTGGGAGCTCCCACGAAGGTGACAGGAGCTCAGTTACTTGAGTGGTACCCCTGCCTTCCCGGGACCCATAGTAGCAGGAACCTTGGGACTGGGAATTGGACACAGGGACTCTGATGTAGGATGCAGGCATCCTAACGACTGGGACAAATGCCCACCCATAACTCTTCTTCTTAGGAGTCTTGCACATTTTTGTTCAGTCAGTTTCATGGTACCTTCATGTGTATTGTATTTTGTGAAATTTTCTTTTAGCATAAGTTTGCTAATTATGCAATTCTGTACATAAGGAAGACAGGAACATTTGCTACATAGCTTTGTATTTTGTCAGTTTTCTCAATTATCTCTTGGCTTATGGTTGTTTTTCCAAATGATTCTTTAAGGGCATTATAAATATACAGGCAACTTGTTTTTCCATAGTCGTGGTTTTGTCTGCTCTGGGAATTGTTAAGCCTCTTGAGGCCTTCCCTGTCCCCTTGTACAGAGAGGAATAGTAGTGGTGATGGTGAGCTCCCTGGTTTTGCTCCTGGTTCCTGTTGGCATGTTAAAGGCAACAGCACTTGCTCTGTACGCACAGCACTTCTGTGTGAGATTTTTGTACATGGGATGGTTCTTCAGTTGTCCGTGGATGCCAGTGAGATGCCCTGGAGTTCAAGTCAGCTCTGACACTGTCTTGCCTGAGCTAGTGCTACAAGACTGCCCCGACTCGGGTCTCGCCTGTGAGTCCTCCATTGCTGCTGCCCTTCAGCCGCCTGGCTGCACAGTCGGCGGCTCCTGTAGCCCCCTCCTCACGCTCCACAATTTGCTAGGCTGGGGCTCAGAACGTGGAATCCCTGCTGGTTACTACAAAGGATACTGAAAAAGACGCAAATGCATAGCCAGGTGGAGGCACAAAGGGCAAGATCTGGAATGGTCCCGAGCTCCATGGGTGTGCAGCATCCTCCTGGGATTTGGAGAAAAATCATCAACCCAGAAGCCCATCAGACCTCTTGATGTAGGGTTTCCTTAGTGGCTGCGTTAGGGAGGCACGATTGAATGAATGAGTTACATGGGTGCAGCTACTCTCCCCTCCTGGAAGCTGGTGTGAGGTGAGGCTGAAGGTTGTGAGCCTCTCGTCACATTGCTGGCCTCCAGGCGTCACCTGTCCAGCCCAGTCCTGCCGAAGCTAGAATTCGGAGGATGAGGCCCAGGGCCTTGTGTCTGTGAGCCCTCCAGGGGATCCTGACTTCCCCGAGGTTTGAGAACCACTGCCTAAGGAACCACCCCTCTGCCTCCCTTCGCAGTCCGAGTCTTCAGAGTTGTTAACTTGTTGACTCCCTGAGCAAGAACAAGCACACTGTACTTTATCAGTTTACCTTCCAGAAGTCAAGGCTGACCGTTTGTTGACACCATATGACTCTCTGACCTGGAGAGGGGTTTGCTGAATCTCTCTCCCTGGGAGACGTGTGAGGGTTCAAGCTCTGTGGTGAAACGGCAGAACCACGTACTCAGAGGTCAGTCCAGGCAGAGGCCTTAGGCCAACCAGGTAGACTTCATTTTAAGAGAGAGAACAGTTCAGATATGCTCATTTTCCATGCATGGCCTCTGGGTGGAAAGCACCTGCTGGGGCCCAGTGGATGACGGGATTGGATGGGTACAGACCCAGAATCTGCAACCCTCTGCCTCCCACGCGTGCACCTGCCATGTTTGTTGCCTGCATGGAATGAGCAGATGCTAGGAGGAAGGCAAGTGGTGCTGGCCTGCCTGCTGACCTCATCTTCCACACAATGCCACCGAACAGAGCAAATTAATGATCATTCACTTAACCTGAAAGACTCAACCTAATTAATGATTTTCATGCAATTTCCCGTTGTTTGCCCTTCCTTTCTGAATGTAGAATGCGTGTCAGTGGCATCACTGATTTACAAAAGGCAGTCTGCCTGCTGAGTAATTGGGAAAGGCACTCCCCAGGGCAACACGGCTGTGAGCTGGAGCAACGCTAAAGTGGTTGTCGATAAGGGGCCCGTCATCCCTGCAATGGTTCTCACCCCCAGGGTAATTAGATCAGAATGGCGCTGCTCTGGGGCTGTGAGGACCCTGTGGGTTCACCAGTGTTGTTGACACCAGTGCTTCATCGTACTCAGGAACCTTGTCAGGGTCTGGGGGTTCCCAGGCCTCGCTCGGTAGGTGCTGCCCTGGTGTGCCTGTGTGTGAGGCTGGCAGGGGACTGATGTGATAAATGAGCCACTTGCAGCGTGTGTGAGCTGACTCTAAAGCACGACCTCCCCCCATCCAGGTCAGGGCTTTTACAACACTCCCTGTCTCTGCCTCTCTGCCTAGGGGCCTGAGGGCTGGAGACTAGATTGGGGCGCATCCCAGGGAAACCCGCACACGGGCCGTCTGCACACAGCCTGCCTCTCACATTGGTAGGGCTTGTAGCACAGGAGCGAGCACAGACTTGTGTCTCAGTAACTAAGTGGCAAACCTTGTGTCTAAGTGATGACCCAAGCTAACCCACAAGTCGCCTGTAACATGTGCTCTGTCCTCCTGTCTTGGTGTGTTGACCTCCGTGATGACCTGAGATGTGGCAGCATGGAGGGAGCTCCCCTGGGCTCCTTGTTAATGTTGGGGTGGCTGTGTGTGTGTGCAGGTCAGCAGTCTGCTCATTCAAGTCCTGATCGTAAGTCCCTCTCCTGGCTCGAGGCTGCTCCTTGGGCCCAGACCACTTTGAAAGAGCACACCCGCAGAAGAGACCCAAACAGATTTAGGATTCGGGCAGGAAATCGTTGGGTGCCAGGAGCCAAGGACATGGTCTAGACACAAAGCATAAACTCTGGTTTGGCAGGGCTTTGAGGAAAGCCGGGTGAGGACTAGAGCAGGGGCTCCCTCTGCCTGTGTCTCAGGAGGTACTGGACTCATGGAACGTTAGTGTGGTTTCATGCACCTGGGGCCTCTGTCAGAGGGAGGGCTTTCAGTCCATCCTAAGGATCCATGTGTACACCCTTGCATGGACGTTAATGAAACCGCTGTGTGGGCTGACGGCTACACCTACATATCACACCTTAGGCACGCTCACACTTGCAGCAGGTGTGTCCACTCTGCTGTTACATAAAAGTTGACACTCTGTTTTCACCTCTCTGTCATGCTGTGCCCCCTCCTGACTGCTGTCACAAATCTTACACCAGCAGGCATCTTGCTGCAGACACGTGTGTCTGGTAGCCTTGCTCGCCTGTGTGTACCTGTGCTGCTGTCTGCCACACTCAGTTCCCCAGCCAGCCACGCTTACTCCACCTGGCACGTTTTGCTTGTCATCAGTTGGGATCATTGATGCTCCAGGATCCAGGTTAAATCCAGTGGCTGAAATAAGGCTTGGGAGTTTGGGGTACAGTGATGCTACTGGGGTTCTACTTAGACTCATCGGCTGATAATGAAAATGTATGGTATTGCATTTGCTAATGATGTAGGCAGCCTGCACACAAACACCCTGACACCTGCCGGGCCTCTGTAGGTAACGCAGTCCCCCGGAAGGTTGACACTTGGCCATGGCTGCATGTTTCAGGAGCGGCATTCAGAATTCCTTCATCGTCTTACATCAGGGAAGACAATGTGATGCTGCATCTTGCTGGGAGCCTCAACTCAGCTGTCCCATGACTCAGCCCCTTACTCTGATCTCGAGGTCTGCGGGTCTCAGCCTCAGAAGGCAGCAGACACACACTGCTCCTGTTGTCACTTCAGTTAGCAGTCCTATCTCTGGGATGGCAAAGATGTGTGTACTCAGATACTTCTAGGTGAGGGGTAGTGTGTGTGCAGTGAGACACTCCCAGGTCAGGGCAGTTTGTGTGCAGTGAGACACTCCCAGGTCAGGTGTGTGTGTGTGTGTGTGTGTGTGTGTGTGTGGTGAGATACTCCCAGGTCAGGTGTGTAGGTGTGTGTGTGTGTGCATTGAGACACTCCCAGGTCAGGTGTGTGTGTGTGTGCATTGAGACACTCCCAGGTCAGGTGTGTAGGTGTGTGTGTGTGTGCAGTGAGACACTCCCAGGTCAGGGCAGTGTGTGTATAGTGAGACACTCCCAGGTCAGGGCAGTGTGTATGTGCAGTGAGACACTCCCAGGTCAGGTGTGTGTGTGTGCAGTGAGACACTCCCAGGTCAGGTGTGTGTGTGTGTGTGCAGTGAGACACCCAGGTCAGGTGTGTGTGTGTATAGTGAGACACTCCCAGGTCAGGGCAGTGTGTGTAGTGAGGCACTCCCAGGTCAGGTGTGTGTGTGTGTGTGTGTGTGTGTGTGTGTGTGGTGAGATACTCCCAGGTCAGGTATGTAGGGGTGTGTGTGTGTGTGTGTGTGTGTGGTGAGATACTCCCAGGTCAGGTGTGTGTGTGTGTGCATTGAGACACTCCCAGGTCAGGTGTGTGTGTGTGTGTGCATTGAGACACTCCCAGGTCAGGTGTGTAGGTGTGTGTGTGTGTGTGTGCGTGCAGTGAGACACTCCCAGGTCAGGGCAGTGTGTGTATAGTGAGACACTCCCAGGTCAGGGCAGTGTGTATGTGCAGTGAGACACTCCCAGGTCAGGTGTGTGTGTGTGCAGTGAGACACTCCCAGGTCAGGTGTGTGTGTGTGTGCAGTGAGACACCCAGGTCAGGTGTGTGTGTATAGTGAGACACTCCCAGGTCAGGGCAGTGTGTGTAGTGAGGCACTCCCAGGTCAGGTGTGTGTGTGTGTGTGTGTGGTGAGATACTCCCAGGTCAGGTATGTAGGTGTGTGTGTGTGTGTGTGCATTGAGACACTCCCAGGTCACGTGTGTGTGTGTGTGTGTGTGTGGTGAGACACTCCCAGGTCAGGTGTGTGTGTGTGTGTGTGTGCATTGAGACACTCCCAGGTCAGGTGTGTGTGTGTGTGTGTGTGTGCAGTGAGACACTCCCAGGTCAGGTGTGTGTGTGTGTGTGTGTGTGTGTGTATGTATGTGTATGTGCAGTGAGACACTCTCTGGTCAGGGCAGTGTGTGTAGTGAGACACCCAGGTCAGGTGTGTGTGTGTGCAAGGAGACACTCCCAGGTCAGGGCAGTGTGTATGTAGTGAGACACTCCCAGGTCAGGTGTGTGTGTGTGTGTGTGCAGTGAGACACTCCCAGGTCAGGGGTGTGTGTGTGTGTAGTGAGACACTCCCAGGTCATGTGAGTGTGTGTGTGTGTGTGTGCAGTGAGACACCCAGGTCATGGCAGTGTGTGTATAGTGAGACACTCCAGGTCAGGGCAGTATATGCAGTGAGACAGTGACTAGATACAGCATTTGCCACCAACAGCCTAGCCACAGAAAGCAGCTCAGGTAGGTTCAGCCCTGGCCTGAAGGTGCCGGGTGAACCCAGCACCTGGGCTGCACTCACACTTGTTGCTGGGCCTGAGAATTCTTTCCTGCACTGAGAGTTGCCGCAGGGGTCCAGACTGAGCAATCTCAACGTGAGACTCCTTCCCCAGCCCAGAGCCCCCTGGCGAGGGCATCCACTGCAGCAGTCACTCAGGGATGTGTTTTCATCCCAGGGTCCGAGGCTCCGCTTCCCAGCCAAGTGACCCCAGTGGCCTGGCCTGTGGGAACCCTCTGCCTTGAATTTCTGAACTCACCCATTACCCAGCAGCATGGTGGGAACTGCACCCACTGCTGGCAGGTGAGAAAAAGAAGTCAAAGGTATTGGAAGGGAGGAAACAGAGCAGTGCGTATTTGCAGATAATGTGGCTGTCTGGGTAGCAATGTCTAAGAAGCACTGATCAAGGAAAAGATAAAAGCCCCCTAGACCTAGGAAGTGAGCACAGTGAGGGTGCAAGGTCAGCTCACAGAAGTCGGTAATGTACAAGGGATCCTCCTTGGGTACATGGAAAATATGTATTATGAAAAATCATGCATGGATTTCAGATGTTTTTGTACCAAAATGCAATTTTATTTGTGCTTTTCCTTGAACTTTATGAAGTGTTCTCATGTCTGCATACTGGTGATAAGCTATAATGAAAAATATGATTTATTATTAAAAAGCATATGGTATTCAGATATGTACTTAAGACATATACAAGAAAACACCGATGAAGTAATCAAGACCTAAATAAATTGGAAGACATATTTTATTCATGGATTGGGAGGCTCAAAGATACCCATTGTCTCCAAATGATATACGAAGTAAAGAAATTTCTCACAAAAATCCCCCCAAGTTTTTTTGTAGACACAGATAAGGTTTTCTAAGATTGATGTGGACAGACCTAGATCCTGGAATAGCCGAAGTGATCTTGACAAGGAAGAATAAAGCAGGAGGAATGAGCGCCCCGTGTCACAGCTTACCATAGCTGCAGTAATGAAGGCGCTCTGTTACTCACAGAGGCATAGACACATGGATCAATGGGACAGAATAGAGAACCCATAAATAGAGCTGGATAAATATGCTCAATTGATTTTTGACGAAGGTGCAAAAGCAATTCCAAGGAGGAAAGAGAGCCTTTTCAACAAGAGCAGTTGGGTATCCAAAGCCAAAACTATGAGCCTCAACCTGAACCTCAGGCCTTGTACAAAAATTCACTCAAAATGGATCGAGAGGTGCAATGCCAGATGTATAACCATGAAACTTTTCTGGAAGGAGAAAATATCTCCGGGGTTTAGGGCTAGACAAAGAACTCAGGCTTGACAACAGAAGGAAAATTTGACAAAATAGGATGTCATCCAAATGAAAAAGAAAAGCATGCGGCCTGTGGCAGGCGCTGTTAAGGAGATGAAACACTGGGAAAGATGCGCAGTCCCCATTTCTAAGAACACTTAAAACTCACAAGTGAAGGCAACAAACCCATTTGAAATGGGTGAATGATAGGGAGAGATGTTTCACCATAGAGGAGACTCGATGACAAATGAGCAGCTGAGATAGGGTTCGGAAGTCATCAGGCACAGGGAAACGCAAGTGAAGATTTACAAATGAGGTATCACGATCTCCTATCAGAACGTAAAGTGAAAAATGGTGGCAGCTCCCAGAGCTGGCGAGGCTGTGGAGGGAGCTCTCAAGCTTCGGCAGTGCAGATGTGAAGTGGCACAGTCACTCTGGAATGCAGGGCCACACAGCCCAGTGATTGCCGTCTTGGGCCCTGGTCCCAGAGAAACAGAAACTTGGTTTGCACACAACCCCGCGTGCAGTGTTTGCAGCAGCTCTACTTGTAATAGCTAAGCAGTCCTTCAGTGGACGGCGGTTAAGCTGTGGTGCATCCGTGCCACGGAGTAGTACTCTGCAGTGATAAAAGAACGTGCTGTGGATACACGCACCCCCGTGTCCTCCACAATCCCTGGGGAATTCTGCTGTGTTAACAAATCCCCAGATTGCCTTCTGTTTAGTTCCATGTACGTTTGAAATGCCAAAGTCTTGGAAACAGCGAGGAGTTGAGAAGGTGCTGGGGGTTAGGGATGGTTGTGGGGCAAGAAAGGCAAGGTCAGAAGGGAGAGGGGTGTGGCTATGAAAGGGCAACACCAGGGATCCTTGTGGTGATGGAGATGGGAAACGCTACATGAGATGAAGTTCTCTGGAGCTACACACACACACACACACACACACACACACAAGTAAAACTGGGGAAACCTGAATAAAATTGGTAGGTTGTATCAGTGTCAACTTTCTGATTGTAAGATTGTACTACAGTTCTGTAAGATGTTACTTCTAGGGGAGGCTGGGTAAAGATATATGGACTATCTCTACATTATTTCCTTTTTAAAAAAGTTTTTTTATTTATATAAGGGGAATGAATTTCCTGTATTTCATGTATAGTTATTAAGAACATAATGATACTTCCCACGTTACCCTCTCTCTCTCTCTCTCTCTCTCTCTCTCTCTCTTTCTCTCTTTCTTTCTTTCTTTCTTTCTTTCTTTCAGAGGCAGAGTTAGAGAGAGAGAGAGACAGAGAGAAAGGACTTCCTTTTCCGTTGGTTCACCCCTCAAATGGCCAGTGCGCTGTGCCAATCAGGAGCCAGGCGCTTCCCCCTGGTCTCCCATGCGGGTGCAGGGCCCAAGCACCTGGGCCATCCTCCACTGCCTTCCCGGGGCCACAGCAGAGAGCTGGACTGGAAGAGGAGCTACTGGGACAGAATCTGCGTGCCAGCCAGGACTAGAACCCCGGGGTGCCAGCGCTGCAGGCGGAGGATTAGCCTAGTGAGCCATGGCGCTGGCCCCTCCCTCCTTTCTTATTTTTCTTTTAATTTTTGCAAAGACACACTCTGAGTTTACTTAATAATCACAAGCTTAATCCTCCACTAAGCTAAACAATTCAACAGGTAGCAAGTAGAAAAACCACTGTGCCTCTGTAATATAGACAAGGGCTATAAATAATCTCAAAATGTCAGTTTCATTCCTTTCTTAAAACTGCATGCAAGTCTATTATGATCTCAGAAAGTTCAGTGGGATCCTGTATAGTGTATTTTCAAAGTATTAATCAGATCCTACATTGAAATTTTCAGAAAAGTACATAAAGACAAAGCAACATAGCATATAAAACTATTGTTTGCAAAGTTGATAGACTAACAGAAGATGGCTTCATATGTGTCAGTATATTAGATGATTCCATATATATATATTTTTTTTTAATTTATAGAAGAGTCAGAGTACTCAAATCTGTTGGTGCACTCCCCATGTGAAGCAGTCAGGAGTAGGCTGGGTTGAATCCAGAGCTCCCAAGTGCATGGCAGGGATTCAGCTACTTAGGCCAGCGTCTCTGCCTCCCGGGGTCTGCATTAGCTGGCAGCTGGAAATAGGAGCTGGGCTAAGAATCCAGTGAGGGCATTCAGATGTGAGGTATAGGTGAATTAACCAGCATCTTAACTACTAGGACAAGTATCTCCACCATGATGCTATGCATTTTTGAAATGAAAAACAAAGCTTTAGTTTTCTGACAGAAGTCCAAAAGTTGGGGCTGGCATTGTAGTATAACAGGTTAAGCTACTGCCTGTGATGATGGCAGCCCACATGGGCGCCAGTTGGAGCGCTGGCTGCTCCGCTTCAGATCCAGTTCTGTGCTAATGGCCTGGGAAAGTAGTGGAAGATGGCCCAAGTATTTGGGCCCCTGTACCCTTGTGGGAGACATGGAAGAAGCTCCTGGCTCCTGGTTTCAGCCTGGCCCAGTCCTGGCCATTGCATCCATTTGGGGGAGTGAACCAGTGGATAGGTCTCTCTCTATCTCTCCCTCCCTCCCTCTCTCTGTAATGCTGCCTTTCCAATAAATAAAATAAATCTTAAAGAAGTACAAAGGTTATAGAGGTATCTACAATTTTCAAATAAACCCAGAGAATAAAAACATTAACTGAGCATTTGCCTTTTGAAAGACAGCTCAGGCTGTGGTGTTGCTTTCTTTTGCCTCCATGTGTTCCTTGTATCATTTAACTTTCAGGCTGGTGGAATGACAGTTTCTTCTCAGGGAGAATCCCCCCACCCAAGCCCTTGGGTGTGATGTTTCTATGATGGGAGTGAGCCTGTCTGTACAGGTGTGCTTTTGGTTTGAGATGAGGTTCTTGCACAGAATTTAACAAGTTAGTGCTCAACAGGCTATAACGCTTCAGGCTTCCTCTATGCCTCGACAGTCCTGATTTGAAATTTCAGGTGTTGCCAAGAGATATTTGTAGATAAATATATAGATGTCTCTGGATCCAGATTATCCAATCCTGTCTTTGGATAGCTCATTCATTTTCTTACAAAGACTTCTCTCTTCCTTCTCAAGAGTAGAGCAGTAGAAAGTCCTGTATGCCTTTCCTTCAAGACCAAACTGTTCCTCTTGCTTGTTTCTGTTATTTATTTATGTATTTATTTATTTAAAAGGCAGAAGGAGTGATCTTGTATTTCCTGGCTTACTCTGCAGATGGCTGCAACAGCCATGTCTTGGCTAGGGCAAAACTGGGAGTTAGGAACTCCATCCTGGTCTCTCACGTGGGTAGTTGGGACCCAAGTACTTGGGCCGTTGTGCACTGCCTTCCCAGATGCATTAGCAGGAAGCTGGGACAGAAGCAGTGTAGCTGGCATTTGTACTGGTACCCTCGGAAGTGGGTGCGCTGAGACGTGTGCCACAATGCTGGTCCCCCAGACTCTGTTGTTGACTGTAGCGCAGTGACAAGGCTGCTCTCAGCCTAACACATTGTTCCCTTAGTTGTCTCTCATGGACCCTCGTGGCTTTGTTGGCCTGCAGTGGTAGCCGCTCAAGGTCCTAGGAGTTGTGCTCACCTTCTTCTCTAACCTTGTGATTTAAGTGAGAGTGTCATCTTCCTGTAGAAATATCCCTGAACACAGGCACTGGCCCCGAGAGCCTGGAAGCTACCAGAATTTGTGCTGCCAGGGCTTAGTCATTGCCTGGCACCTGGTCCCAGTGATCCTCAAGACTGGGCACCCCTTTTACTTATAATTTTTCTGAGCTAGGGCAGTGTGTTCCTTGACTGAGTGATGTCACGCTGAGTTTTCTACACATGGGTTCAAGTGTGTTGATTCATATTCTTCCCCGAGATCAATAAATGCTTTCTATATTTTTTCTCTGTTGTGTCTTACTCTTCTTAGCTATAAAGAGAGAGGTCAGAAAAGCACATCATTTTCTTCTGTTCCCTAAGTTTCCTGTTGTGTCCTAGACAAGATCAGTTGCAGATTCCCTTTGTGTGTCTGGAGAGGATCAAGTGCTTCTCCGGGACTGGCAGCACAGGGGGTGCTGCAGCCCAAGTGGCCCTTGCTGCCATTCTTTGCAGTGCACGAACTCCTGTTGTGGCTGAAGGAGTTGATGTCACTGCCAAGGCCACGTCCTGCAATATGATTGAGTCAGGACCAATGCGTGAGTGTAGATTTACCATCGCTCATAAATTCCACCATAGCGTCTAGGTAAATCCACTGTCTGGTTAAGAGTTGCTGTGTAGTAAGTAATTAAATTGACTGTAATATATGTGTATGTGCTTTCTGCCCTTTAGCGAAACAGACTCAAAATGTTCTTAGGAGTGATTTTTTAAATCTCTGCACTTAGGTGCTGCAATTCCACCTGAGTCACAAGCAGGTGATAATCCAAAGAGGATTAGTTTTTCTGTCTTATACTAGAGGTGTCTTGCAAATAGGTGTGGTGCTTATTCTAAGGTCTCCCTTGGGTGGATCTGCTGGGGAGCTGTCTGTACAGAGTGTGTGCAGCTATGGTCTCCTCCATCATTGCTGTTGGCCAGAGCCCCCCTCAGCTGTACCAGCCACGTGCCCCTTGTAAGTCTTTCTTGTTGGAGTCATTCAGGGATGCTCAGGTTCACTGGCACTGGTCAGAAAGTCAGGCATTTCTGTTTGCTCATAAGGGAGCGGGGAGAATGAGAAGAAGAAAACAGCCCGGCTCGTGCACCATTGCATTTTCGGTATCACGGGCTTTGTCAAGAAATTGGAACGAATGCTTTTACTTCATTGGAAGTGGATGGGCAAATGTCCAGGTTGCAGAGCTTTGTGGTTCCTGACTGCAGGTGCATTTGCTTCACAGCAGGTCCCAAGGAATGGGAAAGGAGAGACTCGGCAGATGGGTGATCTCGGGGGCGTGAGCTTAGGCATTGGTGGTTTGTCCTCTGGCCGTGCTGGTGGTGCTGCTGTTGCTTTGCTCCCAGTACTTCTAGGGTACACCCTAGGGACTGCTGTGAGCCTGAGGCCATCACTGGGCTCGGTTACTGCTGTTCCCTCACTGTGCGGATGTGACTGGGTGGGTGGGTCTGTGGCTTTCACCCCAGCGGAAACCTGTTAGTGTCCTTGGCATTTCTCAACACCTTTCATCAGGTTGGGCGAGAGCTGCCAGCTTCTCAGAGATCCTTGTTTTGTGATGATGATGCCAGGGGTTCGTTAGGATTTGCAGACCCTGTGATAGGATAAGGCTTAACTCATAATCAAGGAATAAATCAGCCCTCTGTCTTCGGAAGACCTCCTCCAGGAGGCACGGTCAGCTGATGGGGCTCAGCTCTAGCACAGGGCCACGACTTGCAAATTTCCATTTCTTTTCCTAAACAGCAGCATTTGTGTTTGTCCTGAATGCAATTTCACCAAGAACCTTATGCCCAAAACTGATGACAGCAGAAATTTCTAAAGAGATTCTGCTCCCTGCCCTCTACCATGGACTTTGGAACCCCAGGGCTTGCGGTCCCCTGCTTTGAAGGCTTTTGGGTTTGTGTCCTGCTGTACTGTCTTCAGAGCCCAGGGGTAGGGTGCCCACCAGGCATGCAGCTGGCTGGGAGTAAAGCCTTCTTGTTCCCACTCCTGAAGTTCTGAACTGCATCTCTTGAAGCTACTGTGGAGTCCCTGTTGGGCCCCCTGGTCTCTAACCTTGTTAGGAACCCTTGGTCAAGATTCCTCATGTTGTGCATGGATAAAGAAGGGAGGCTTTTAAAGGGGAGAGGGGCAGCCTGCTCAGTGCCAGTTGTCCACTCCTTCTTTGGTAAACATTTGTTGTTTTACATGGCTCTTGGCCTCCCAGGGGTTACACTCCTGATACAAAGCTCAGAAACGTGACTGCTCTGGTAGGTGAGGTGTCAGGATATGACCGGGACACACGGGAGTGAAATGTAAGCTGAAGGACAGGTTGGAGGTGGAGATCAGGGGAAAACAGGGGAGGTGGAGGAACAGCTGTGCAAAGGCCCAGGGATGGGGAGGTTGTGAGCCCTGGGCTGAACAGCTTTAGGAATGAGAATGGGGCTGTTAGCCGACCAGGCAGGGCTCATCAGTGACGTCCAAGGTTTGGACTTAATCCTGAGGGAGGTGGGAGCATAGCAGGGCGGGCCATGGCCCTGGGGGTTGCTTCTGTAGCAGTGGGGTCCTGGCGCGTGCACGTGGCACTTGGCGGCACAGCATCACTTACTGAGGATAAATGTGGACGCCTGTGCAGCCTGACACATAGGTCCTCAGGGCAAGATGATCAGGCAGCGACGTGTGTGGCAAACAGGCTGTTTGGTCAATAGTTTAATTCTGGCAGCAGCTGAATGACAATATAAAGAATGCAGTGGCATTTCCACTGCAAAGTCTGCCATCATTTTCTGCTTGACATGAGGAAAATAAAGGCTTCTCAGCTCCAGAAAGAATTAGCCTGAACTCCACCTGTCAGTCTCTGGGTGAAGAATCATCATGTGGCAGGATTGTAGTTGTGCTGAGAAGGACATGGAGCAGTAGGGTGGGCTGCCCACACCTGGATCTCATTTCTGGAAACTCCGCCCGTCTTCAGGGTTTAACCATGGTGTCCAGGTCCTTCCGTGCTGGGCTTGGCTTTGGATTGGTCCCACAGTCCTCATTCCAGGAGCTGTGAGGCTGGCTCCACGCAGGAAGGTGGCACCTGCCACCATTCCTCGTGCTTCCTGCGTTGGGGGGCTTCCTCTTTGTTTTGCCAATGGCTGGACTTCCTTTGATTCTGAGCTTCTCAAGGGAGGGGAGGAGAGTGCTCTTGCTTCCACACATGCCTTCCCAGATCTTTAGTCTTTCGCTTTGTCTTTGCTTTAGCACAGTGGCCCTCAAAAGTTGGTCCCTCCACATACCTGCAGGTGCAGGGCTCTACCTCACACATACTGAGTTGGCAGCTATGAGGATGGGGCCCAGAGACCCATGTTTTCGCAGCCTGCCTGGTGACTCTGGTATATGTTCAAGTGGAGAACCATTGCTCTTTCAAATGCTTATGCTGAGGCACCAGGCTTCCATACAGTGGATATGTTTGAGGAGGGGTGCACATGTCTGAACCATGCAGGGAGGGAGGTGTGCAGAAAGTAATTATAGGGCACCCCTTGGTCGGGGACAACTGAAGCACAGGAGTTCTTTCCCATCGTGGAGTACCCAGTGGGGGTGCTATTGCTGTGAGCACGTGCTGTGCGCCAGCCGCCTGGCCCAGCCCTGTGATGTTACTGCACTGAGGAAGTTAGATTTACTGTCTGCACTTCATGATGGCTAGAAGTGGGGCCCAGAGCAGTTAGCTGAACTGCTCAGGGATGAAGTGGCAGAGATGGAACCCGAGCTCAGGTTTGCACTTGACCTCTATGCCCTGACCCTCATCGTGTGCTGCTCATGTCACTGCCCGGCTGGCCAGTTCTGGAATGCCGAGGTATCCTGTGTGTGGCTGGCCTGGTCCATGTGTTTGCATACTGAGCCCTGCAGAGAGGTTGAGGAACATGACGGGCTGCCATGATCTTGGGGGAGAATGGTATTTAATCTTCTCTCCAAGAGTAACTTCAGAATCACAAACAGGAACCAAGAAAATGAAGTGAGCAATTTCGCACTTGAAATGCAACACATGTGAATGACTGCCTATTAAATTGGGCTGGGCCTGTGCTCCCAGCCTCCTGTGACTGAGGCTATTAGAATGAGGAGCGAAATTGCAGAGGGGAGGCTGGTTAATTGTCTTCCCAGGTTGTTGCAGCAACCTGCGTGAGGGACACGGTTCCCACGCTGCCTGTGCATCTCTCCATGGGATTTCCTCTTATGATTAAACAGGAAGCAATAGCAGGGAGGTGTGGGGAGGCTGGGCTGGGACTTGGCAGCCTCATGAAGCCTGGAGTATGAGGCTCCTCTGTTAGCAGGCGTAGCAGAAATGGCTTCTGGATCTCAGCTTGTTGCTCCCAGCTTGATCAGGAATGCTTTTTCAAGTTTCCTGCTGGTTCTGAAATCCACAGGTAGGTGAGCGCTTTGGGACTGGGGCGTGAACTGGCCTTTTGATTTTATACCAGCTTCCTTTCCCAACATTCTGTAAGGATTTCTGTTTGGCTGTTTCCTGTTTATGGGCGTTACTTTTGCAGTCTGCACCTGGAGTGCTTGTCACTCACTCCACGGAAGAATTTGGCTGTGTAGTGAGTCACATGTTCCTATAGACCCTGTCTGCAAGGTAAGTAGTCCTCTGTCTATCAAGTATCTTACTTTCTAGCTCTGTATTGGAGACATCCAGCTGTGGAGGATATTGCCCAATGATTTTTGTCTCCCAATTAGCTTGTAGCCAAGTCCCAATAACATATTAAGCCAAGGGCTTTTCTTGTTAATTTCCCCCTAGAAAAGATGTGGCAAAGCTACAGGGAGGCTGAACTTAGCTAAAGAACAATGCTGAGCTCTGCTGTTCTTCCTTTCAAATAATCAGCTGCTCCCTTAGAGAATAACATTGTTTAGCATCTGTAACAATGTTGCATTGTTAGAGGAGGTTGAAAACTTTGTGGCATTATTAGCTGGGAGATAACACCGGTGGTGTAGATTTCATGAAGTTGCTCTTGAAACTTGTCTTATTATCCAGCAGGTGAGCACCCTAAGGTGGTCCTGAGTTTTCAGCTCCAACTTTGAAGTAACCTTGACATGAGTAGGAGGATGCTTCAAGAAATTTATGGAAGATCACATATGCTGATGCAAAAACAACTTGAAATCTGTGCTCAGTTTTTTCATTTTACACGTTTTCCATAGACTTTTTAAAGATCTCTCATCTGCATGATTTGAAAGTGTTGTTGTGCCAGCTTAAAGTTGACCGTTTTGATTCCACTTTTCCATGAACTTTTTGAAGTAGACTCACACCTCACCAGCAGATGCCCGTGAGCAACTTCACATTCTCTGTCTCCATGTCTTTGTTCATTTGCATCCTGGCAGGCAGGCAGTCTGAGCTTTGATGTGTTTGTCAGCTGACACACAGTTCTTGTTTTTGGAAAGGTCCTTGCCTTTGCTTGGGCAGCCTTACCTCTTGGAGCAGTTCCTTGAATTACTGGTGCATCTTGTTTCATAAACAAGAATAAGGGGTGTTCACACTTGGGTCTCACGAAAGTGGAGATTACATGGGAAATTAAGACTGCCCCAAATAAGAAATGATTCACCTCAAAAGGGTGGACCCTGGAATTAAGACAGTCAACTGGTTGTGAGGAGAAAAGAAAATGAAAGGACACAAATGAAATGCTGAAAACATCATCAAAGACAGTGCTTTAAAAACTGTGTCCTTAGAAATCTATGCTATTTTCAACCCTGGGGAGCAGGCAGCATGCCTTTCAATAGAGATCTGTTTAGTTGTCACTCTTTTAATATACTGACTTATTTTTCATATTACAGCACATTTTATACAGGGGCTGCCCTTAATTTTTCATTTTTAAAAAATATTTATATGACAGAGATCTTCCATCTGCTGGTTCACTCCCCAGATGGCCACACAGAGCTGGGGCTGGACCAAGCTGAAGCCAGGAGGCTGGAATTCCATTTGGGTCTCCGAGTAGGTGGCAGGGGCCCATGTACTTGGGCCATCTTCTACTGCTTTCCCAGGTGCCTTAGTATGGAGCTGGATAGGAAGCAGACCAGTCAGGACTCATACTGGTGTTCCAATATGAGATGCCAGCCTCAGAGGCAGTGGCTTAACCTGCACCACAGCGCTGGCCCCAGGAGGCTACTCTTACCTTATCTTTTTTATTTCTCATGCTGGGGTTGCACTCACTGCCATGACCAGGAAAAATTTTTACAGAAACAATGGCAGTTTACTCCTGTTCCCAGCCTCTCTGTTCCCATCCTGGCCGGGCTTTATCTTCTTTCCTGCTTTATTTATTTTTTCTATAGTACTTATGCTTAATCAATTGCACTTACTTGCTTGTTTATCAACTGTCTGCTACCAGGAGAATTCCACATAGAATAGGAATTCTTCTCTGTTTTATTCATTACTCTAGACTAGCATTTCTTGAAACATGTTTTTGTTATCACTCCCCTAAGGAGATTTCTTAGATTTTTTTTCCTAATTGCCTCCCCAGTTCATGAAATTTTAGTAGCATGAGTATACCATGTGTCTTTGTATGCTGTGAGTACATCTGCTTTATACACCAGGAGAGAAGGCCTTTTTCACACCTCACAGACCAATTTTCAGCCCCCTGCCAGACAGCGTAAGTTACCCTCTTGGTGGCGCATGCTTCCAACCGCGGTCAGCCACGGAGCTTGGAGCACGGGAGGTGCTCAGCGACCCTGTGCTGAAAGTTTGTCCCCACGAAAGCTGCTGAACCCACACGTCAACATGATGCTTACAGCTTGCATGTACTTACCTTTAGAATTTTTTTCCATGATGTTTTTGGCAGTAGAAACCAAACATTGGTGACGACTTAACTGTTGAGAGAAGGGCACCCCCACCCCGGGGTGTGTTAAGGTCTCACTTTTCTTCTGAGAGAATCATTCAGGGAGGGGATGTTCTAATCAGGTTCTTGTTTAGTCCCATAGGCAGTTATCCCTAATGACCAACGCACACACCAGAAGCCAAAGCACAGATATACCAAATGCAGCTACTGGTGTTGGGCCATGTTCCTCCTTAAGCTGTGAGACTAAAGCTGTACTGGTTGTCAGTTCTTAGGAGTCATAGTCCTCAATAGTACACAACTGGGCCCTCAGGAGTCGTGGTCCTCAGTAGTACTCAGCCGGGCCCTCATGATGACCATTATCAAACAGAAGTTTTCTCCACCTACCCTGGAGTAGGGGTGGACCCAAAGGGATGCACTTAAATCAGTCTCTGTAGAGTGCCTGGATTTGCCCAGCTGCTCTGTGCGTCTTCAGATCACCTGCTGTTCTGAAGCCACCATGTCTCCTGTCCTGGTAGACTGTGTGAGTGGTATGATAAAAGGCCAGCAGTTTTATGTGTATTCAATGAAACAGGGCGGCTCAAGGCTTCCTGCTGTCTGGTGTGGTGGGCACAATAACAGATGCAGGACAGTTGGTGTGTGTCCATTCAGATGGCAGACACCAGGGGGACCCTCTCCAGTAGAGTCTGAGCAGGCTTCTTCATCAGACGCAGGGTCAGCCTTGTGGAGGGACAGGTGCTGCTTCCCCCAGCCTTGGGAGGGAGAGCCCATTGTGCCTTTCCACCTTAGGATGCACAGATGTTGTGGGAAAGGATGGGTTGTTTGGAAGGCACTCAGATCCGATGTTTAAAGTTGGAATTTCTAAGGCAACAGGCTATGTGGAGGGAACTTACGGTGAATGCTTTTTAAAACTGAGTGCCTCCCCTCATTTATGTTTTTGCATTGCTATTTGGATTTTTTCTATCCCAGGTTTCCCCAAAGTGATGCACCCTTGTCTAAAGCAGATGTGTGTCTGCTGCCTGTGTTGCCCTTGCTGGAGTTTTCCTGTGGTGGAGTGCTAAGTGAGGAAGGAATTTTAAGAGAATATTTGCAAAAATGCCTTGGAAACATGGATATGAAGTCAAATATCTTAATTAGAAAAAAAAAAAAGCCTGGGATTTTTCATTGGAGACTCTTGAACGTTACCATTTTCCTCTCTGGAACGCAGATGGCCAAGAGAAGCGGGGATTCCGACTGGACAGCAGTAGCGCTCATTTCCCCGCATGCTCTTGGTTGCTCACACTTGCATCTGGTGATGTTTGTTCAGCAGCTCCTGCATGTGGGTCCCTCTGCAAGGTGTTGGGAAGGCGGAGGTGAATGTGAGTCAGCCCTGGCCTTTACAAAGTGGCCTCACCACTCAGGGTTCTCACAGGTAACCAGGTGGCAGTGGAGTTCATAGTTGTTAGGAGACTGGAGGTAGGTCCCAGCCCTGGGTGACTGCCCAAATGACGTCTATGCTCTGTACATCTGTAAAGTAGGGTTAAATTGGCAACAACCTCACAGGGATCCTTGAGGAGTAAGTAATCTGAATCCATGCACAGTACAAGCCTTGCACCTGGACAGGCTTAGGATGTGGTGTCTGTTCCCAGGAGGCAGAGACCAGGCTGTAGGGCACGCCTCCTAGTGCAGCCAGGGGAGCACGCCTGGGCAGGACAGCTCACGTGAAAGAACGAGTTATGTGCACACAGAACTGACCGCAGCACTGCTTTGGTGGAATGAGGGATTGACAGTTATGCAATGTTCAGCACGTGACTTTGAAGTCACTAACTCTGCTGCATTGCTGTCTCTGCACCCCCCACTTCCTTCCCCCCTTTCTGTCACTCTGGCCACTCAGGGGTCAAGAGATGCGGGTGACCCCAGGCCAGCCCTTCAGAATCTGCTGTGGAGGCAGACCCCGTCCTGGGTGCATAGCTCAGGGATCAGAATCTAGAGTGAGAGAATCCACAGGCTGTGGCTCCATGAAGGTCCATGTTTTTAGGCGACTTCACTTGTGTTGGGAGGCAGGGCAGCTCTGGAAGACAGGACTGGGCCCCTGTGAAGTCACTGTGTCTCTCCAAGCAAAAGGCAGGACTGGTTCACCTTCCATAAACCTGGGATTGTCAGGAGCCAAGATGGCAGCGTCCTGAGCACTGAGCGTAGGGGCCCATCCCGGGCAGACATGTGTTGGTGTGGGGGTCACCGTCACAGCGAGCACGGCTCTGACCAGGTGAGCTGTGGAGCGCTGTGTGCTGTTAGGGTTTCTCCATTTCTGTGGGTTTTTGGTGATAGGGCCTGCCTTCTTACGGCATCCGACCTGGGATTTTGTTTGGCAGTATTTTGAGCTTCTGTTCATTTAGAGAAGAAAAGGCATGATTCCTAATTGGTATAATTTTACCTTCATGAATCCAGAAACACAATTCCTAGAATAATGAGTTCCCCTTTAAGAGAGAAACTTCTCTGCAGAAGTGCCAATTCTTAGCTCATTAGGCCCATCCTGGCAGGAGGATGCATGGCTTTCCCTGGGGCAGTGCTGTGAACACTTGGGGTACTCAAACATTTTCCAGTCCCTGATGTCCCCAGTCAACTCCTCATCCTACGACTAGGCTTCACTATTTAATGAAAGGAACTTTGGGGCTCCCACTGTCATGATCTTGCTGACTCACCACACTGCAAACAATTTGAGTGATTTTTATCCCCTTAGCATCATTATTCATGTTCCCACAAAGAACACCGTGTGTTGGTGTGAACAGGTCACCAGACAAGCAGATAGGGTGACGAAAGCATTTCCTGGGTACAGATTCGTCATCTGTCACCTACTTGGAGAGATTCCAGGTGAGCTCCCGGGGAAGCAAGCTTTTTGTCAAACAGGGTTCCTCTCACCCCTCCGTAAGTCCCCTCCCTGCCAGGGCTTAAAAAGACCAGTGCATTTGTGGGAACCCCGAGTTTTCTGACTGCTGCCCTTCTGCCCTCGTAACACAGCCTGGGGAGCTGCCATCTTCCTCACTGGCCATTGGCTTAGTTAGTTTTCTTGAGCCACACAGAATAGCTCAGACTGGGTAATTTGTAAAGAGGTTTACTCGGCTCCCCGTGCCGGACGCTGGGAAGGCGAGAGTGTGGCCCAGGCCTGTGCTCGGTGTCTCGGGCGGGCTCCCTGCTGCATCGTGACAGTGGAGGGGATACCAGGGAAGACTCAGCGAGTGCGCTAGCTAAGGATGCTCCTCTTAGCCACTCACGGCCTCCTGGGGCCCCGATTCCCAAAGGCTCCACCTCATTCTGCAAATACGTCTAACATATAGGAGTTTGAGAACCAAGTTTCCAACACATGAACTTTGGGAAGATGTGTTCAAGCCATAGTAATGATCCTTCGTGTCGCCATGGCTGTTGTGGACATTTGATGTGGTCATCATAGGTAGGTCTCTTTGTTTATTTCTGAGCAGTTAGAAAGGGCATCCTCCATTGCATGGGGAGACTTACCTTCAGCCTGCTGGGATGGAAGAGTCAAGAGACCCAGATGCCACTCGTGACTCTGTCACTCTCGAGCTGAGAACCTGAAAGAAACCACACTCCTCCAACAGGATGCAGGCTTCCCAGCAAAGATGAAGGCAGTGGGTAGGGTTTCATCTCAGACTCTGATTATCTGGAAGCTGACCTGTGCTCACACGTAGATGGGGAAGAGTTCAGTGATTGATTAGCTCTGTCTACCATAGGTGTGGAAGTGCTGGGCTGCTGGCGTCCTGGAGCCAGATAAAGCCAAAGTTCCTTCTTCTTCCGGCATCCTGTGCCTAAATACCCACACAGCAGCAGCAGGATTTGCAGGGCAGGACGCAGAGTAGTGGGTGGGGTGTGGATGGAGTCAAGCAGCCTGGTTTCTCTCGTAGCGTTTCCGCTGATGAGCTTTGGCACCTGTGATAAGTCACTTCGTCTCTCTAGGCTGTAATTTCCTCCTGAGTAAGAGGAGGATATAAGGAGAGGAGATGCGGCTGCGTGGGGTGCTGCTCGCTCAGTGCTCCTGCAGCCCCCCGGCTCTGGGGAGCGATTTGGAGGGAAGCCGAGTGGTGCTTTGTAGTCGCTGGCAGCATATTTATTTATTCATTATGTTTGAGAAGAGCCTCTCATTCCAGGAAGAAATGCTCCAGTCAGCTGAGTTTGTTAGTTTATCCCGACTCCCAGTGGCTTCACGTGGACCTCCTTGCCTTGTCCTCTGTCCTAGGGGTCACGTCTGAGTTCAACACCACTCATCCCAAGTCAGCCTTCACAAGCCAGACCCGCTTCCCACCCTTGGGACTGTTGTTGCTGTCCTCAAGCCTCTGACCTGTCCGATGCTCGTTTGTAAGCCACGTGTCTGCCCACGTCGTGGTGCGGAGTGGTGCTGGACTCCTCACCCCTGCTGCTCCCCGCCATGCCACTGCAACATGCTGCATGCTTGCAGCTCCAGTGCTTTGCCTGTGCCTCCTCTTCACAGTGGAGTGCCCTCCCCCCTCCTTTTCGCTGGAATTTGCCATGTTTTCTCAAAGACAGAAAAATGCCACCACTTTGAAGCCTTTCCCAGTGATGGCTTTGCAACCCCCCTCTCCCACTCCTCCAGGCAGAGTGGGCTGGAGTTTTGATCTCCTGTCCTCTCGGCTCTCATCTCATACTTATTTATTTTACTGATCTAAGGGTACCCTCATGATGTTCATGAAAAATGGAATTAAAAGGCAACTTTATTTTGGTGCATACTTTTTAAAATCTAATCATAGTTTTTTCAGAGTATTCATTTTCATTAACTTTCTGAAGATCCCTTGTATATTGCATGACCCTTGAAAGGGAGAAGGCAGAATTATGCAGTTCCTTATCCACTATCACTAGCATAGTAGCTGTCCTGGAGCCAGCACTTAACACATGGTTGAATGGTGGACAGAATGAACCATGGCAGTTAATGCTCATTGCTTGCTTGTTTGCTGTGCTGTGTGTTCTTGATCCCTCTGAGGTGGTGTCAGTGTCCACACTTGAGAGCCTGGGAAACTGAGGCCAGAGGGCCCATGGGTGGCACGCAGAGCACAGCTGTTCAGTGATGGCCTCATTCTGCGTTGAAGGCAGGTGGGTGGTCCCTGACCCCCTGCTCCTGATGCTACTGTAGTTCACCTGCTGAACGTGCTGCCCCTTGTCCTCCCCTGAGTCCTCCTTGTGTGGGGTCCTGCTCGGAGCCCTGGATGACCCCGTGGTCAGCACTTGCTCCAGAACTCGTGATGGGAACGTGTTTGATGAGCCATCTTCTCTGTGTGCCTTTCAGTAGCCATTGCATCACTTGATTCTGTAAGAGGGGTCAGGTTTTGAATTTGAACCCGATTGAGCCAGAGTTCTGACACTTTTTGACATGGAACCAGCCACTGACCTGTTCAAACCTCAATTCCTTTATCTCTAGAATAGGAAGTTATGTGTTCCCAAGAACTTAAACCAACCTGGTGTCAAATGGTTTGACACCAGAATGGACCCTGTATCGGATCAGAAATGAGCAGTTGTCCCCAGAAGCTGTGTAGTTCCCAGATCTGCAAAAATGTGACGGACGAAGAGCTTCCCCTGCAGAGTGCCCACTGCAGCAGGTGTGAACCTGTGCAGGAGGCTTGCGCTGTGCACTGAAGCAGTCTTCCACAAAACTTACTTTTCTTCAAAGTCTTAGGTTTCTCCCTTAAAATTTATACAAATTTTGAATTCTGCTCCTTAGGATATAGGGTACTTTAAAAAGTTTGTGGAAAAAATGGGATTAAAAATTTACATTGACACAAAACAAATTGAAATCCATGTATAGCTTCTTATAATTCACATCTCCACAAACTTATTTTTTTATTTTTATTTATTTTTTGACAAGCAGAGTTAGACAGTGAGAGAGAGAGACAGAGAAAGGTCTTCCTTCTGTTGGTTCACCCCCCAAATGGCCGCTGAGGCTTGCACGCTGCACTGATCTGAAGCCAGGAGCCAGGCATTTCCTCCTGGTCTCCCTTGTGGGTGCAGGGCCCAGGCACTTGGGCCATCCTCCACTGCCTTCCCGGGCCACAGCAGAGAGCTGGACTGTGAGAGGAGCAACCGGGACAGAATCTGGTGCCCCAACCGGGACAGAATCCATCGCCCCAACTGGGACTAGAACCTGGAGTACAGGCACCGCAGGCAGAGGATTAGCCTAGTGAGCCGTGGTGCCAGCCTCCACAAACTTTTGATGTACACTGTTATCTGTTTAATATGGTATAAAAATGCATAAAATTATGCAAAAGTTCACATGCCAAGAAGGGTCTGTCATCACAGCTGTTCCACTTCTTATTGCAAACAGTGTGGATGCCCTGACTTTGTGCGGGCCCCGGAAGCTCAGTTGCTGTGCATCTTCTCTAGGAGTGAGGGGGAACCTGAGCTCAGGGGCCTGAAAGTGCAGTTCTCCCTCTGCTGGCCTGGATGCCAAACCTGGGCGAGGAGAGTGAGTCCCTGGGGACAAGGCTGCTCAGCAGGCAGTGTGCCTCTGCTCAGGCAGGAAGCTGATCCTTCGCATTCAATTGGAGGGCATGTGGCTGCTTTCCACAGAGGAAAACAAGCTTCCTCCCAGGTCTCAGGCGAAGGCCCGTGAAAAGCTTGGTTCTTAGCACGCAGAGAAAGTTGGAAGATGTTTTCTCCTATTGAAACGACAGAGCCTGCCTGTGAGCCAGTGTCGATTCACTGCCTTATGTGGGCAAGCTTTTGTGTTTGTGCTGTGTGTGCGTAATGAGCATTCACCCTTAGGACAAGACGTTCTTTTGGTCTGCAGTGAATGAAGGGGTAAATATTAGCTTTTTTCTTTGAAACGGGTACCTTAGGTATTTTTTTTTTAAACAGGGGTAGGACTTGCTAAGGAAAATGTTGATTTGCATAGAATCTCTGTTTACTCTGATGCCAGCCTCCTTCAGCATTCGGTTGTAGCATGGTTTCCTGCCCCACAGTCCTCACTGTCTCCCCCACAGCGCCCGCCCTGTGTCTGTCATTTCTATGCTGACAGTGGCAGTGGGGATGTGAGGCATTGTTACTGTTGATCTTTTGTGTCTTTGTCTAATTTAAATGACCAGGTTGGAGGATGTCGACCACTGCTGTCAATAAAGGCTCGCTCAGTCAGTCGTTCCACATTTTTATTGTTGTCTTTGAGCAATTGCAGTGTTCTGAGTGAGCTGGGCTGTAGGGAAATAAAGGTGAACATATAAACATGATCCCTTACTTTGGAATGAATAATGAAGCCAGGTGACTCTGCACGGGCAGAGCTAGTCTCATGGACGTGACTTGTCTGGTGTCTGGACAGTTTGGACGGTGCTTGGGAGCCCCTGTTGGAGAGATGCTCTAGGTTTGATTTGTGCAGAATCAAACTTGACTTTCTTTCTTTTTTTTTTTTAAGGCAGAGTGGACAGTGAGAGAGAGAGACAGAGAGAAAGGTCTTCCTTTTCCGTTGGTTCACCCTCCAATGTCCGCCGCGGCCGCACCGCACCTATCGGAAGACAGGAGCCAGGTGCTTATCCTGGTCTCCCATGGGGTGCAGGGCCCAAGTACTCGGGCCATCCTCCACTGCACTCCCTGGCCACAGCAGAGAGCTGGCCTGGAAGGGGGGCAACCGGGACAGAATCCGGCGCCCTGACCAGGACTAGAACCCGGTGTGCCGGCGCCGCAAGGTGGAAGATTAGCCTAGTGAGCTGCAGCGCCAGCCAAACTTGACTTTCAATTTTAGCTGCACTATTTGCCAGCTCTGAGACCTTCACCAATTTATTTCTTCCCAGCAACCTTCAGGTTTTCTTCATGTGTAATACAGGGATAATGTTAATCCCTTTTACATAGTTGGAGGAAATAAGACATCAGGGCCTGATAATAGTGATTTGTAAACTGTTTACTGTTGAAATAGCTACATTTCTAGCATGTGCCAGACCTGGGTCCAGCTGTTGAGCTGTCTTGGGGACTGTGCTGAGGACCAAGGCCAGGACCTTGAAGGATTCCCTGGCAGTTTTCTTTGGGCTCAGTCTCCCAGTGCTGGTGTGAGTTGAATGCAAATGGGAATAAGTGCTCATGGATTATGTGTTACTGGTGTTCTGTAGCAATTCTGGTGTCACTGTTGCTGCTTTGAGAACAAAATGAATTCAAATGACTCTGCCAAGACAAGACATGGGTCCAGGGCTCTGCTGTATTTAACAGTATCTCGAGAGGAGAGGAAGGTCACGTTCATCACAGTAGTAACCCCTGTCCCAGGTGAGCGTGTTGTGTTCTTCCACTGCAGCCTCACCCGCACTCCAGGGAGCAGACACAGAGCTCATCAAGACTCCTGGCTCATCCCAGGGCTTGTGGTCAGTCAGTGGTGAAGAAAGGCAGGACTGGGACCAGTTTCCCGATGGCTAATGCAACACTCCTGTGCCGTACTACTTAGAGGAAGTTGCTAGCCTTGTCTCCCTCTCTTGTGATGAGACTCGAGTTTGTTTTTCCCTCTATGAGATGGGGGTGACAGAGGTGGGCTGCGGGCTGGAGAAGTGGAATGGACAGTGTCACTGTTCTGCACAGGGCTTGGCTCTGAAGCTCAGAAGGACGAGTGTACTCAGTACAGTCCCTGTCAGGGACTTGCGAGATGAGCTGGGTGTGAGGTCTGTTTTCGGCCGCTTACTTGTGTGGCCTTGGGCTGATTCCTTCTTCTCTCTGAACCCCAGTTTCCTCATGAATGAGTGAGGATTGTCATGATGAACACACACAGCCTGAACAGCAAGGTTACAATAAAGCTGGTTATCAGCATGATGAAGAAGTGGATCATTTTGCATTGCTTCGGCCCCCCTTCCACGCACTAAGAATGAAACTCGTGACCATGTGCTTGGATCTGCACCCTTTGTAGTCTCCAGCTGCTGCACTGGCTGGCTCTCTCCTTCCCAAGAGGACTCAAGCGACTTGCAGGAGCCTCTGTCCTCCACTGAAACCAGGGCTCATCACCTTGATGTCCCTTAGAGCTGGTTCAGCCCTTGCCTCCTGGACAGCAGCAGCTTGAATCTGGGGGGTCAGAAGCAGAGCTCAGAGCTATGGTTGTGCCACCCCTTCCCCCCGTGCCCCCTTTCCTACTTTAGCAGGAAGTGCGACATCCTTGGTCCACACAACTACTTGGTGTGTTATCCATGTGCAAGAAGCAGCACCTCTGACCTACTCTGCTGTGAGGATGCTCAGCCCGGGGAAGGGACTCCAGAGACATGAAACATAGATTCAGGAAGTATTAGAAATGCAGACTGAAAGGACCAGGGCTCCTTGTCTCTGGCCCGGGCTTCTGGGTCAGTCATGGTCTAACAGGTTCCCATGTGGGGTCATCACCGGACCGAGATGAGGTTGTTAAGCAGGTACCATGCCAGCATTCAGGCTAAGGTGGATGTGTGATTGCTGCTGTCTGAACCTGCCACAGGCCAGCCCACAGTGCCTGGCACAGCCTTTATGTGCAGAATATGTTTGCTGAGTGAAAGATCTTTGGTTTGCTGGGATGCTGAGACGTCACACCATTGTCATTAGGGTAGTTGCAGCTGTTATGAACTTATTATAAGAACTTATACTCCAGGTGCTGTAAGAAGCACCATCTAGGAGTCATCACTGGTGCTTTTTTTTTTTTTAAGATTTAGTATGTATTTAAAGGCAGAGTTAGTGGGATAGACACACACACACACACACACACACACACACACATAGATATCTTCCATCCCTGGTTCATTCCCCCAAATGGCTACAATGTCCAGGGCTGGGCTAGGCCAAAGCCAGGTGCCCAGAACTCCATCTGGGTTTCCTACATGGATGCAGGGGCCCAAGTACTTGGGATGTCTTCCACTGCTTTCCCAGGCTTATTAGCAGGGAGCTGGATCAGAGGTAGAGCAGATGGGACTTGAACCAGCACCCATATGGGATGCCAGCACTGCAGGTGGCAGCTTCACGCTCTGTGGCACAACACTGGCCTCATTCACTGACTTAGCCTGAAGGAAAAAAGTTGTTTTTTTTTCTTTCCTCTTTTGCCACTCAGCGCAACACACACAATCCAGAACACTTCGCTCTGATCGCTGAACACGTGTGAGGGTTTCTCCTCACCAACTACCAGCTTTCCGGTGGACTATACCTGGGGATCCTATAATTGAACTCAAATCCTGGCCATGTGTACCTGGAAGTACACCCAGATCCCTCAAGTTAAGAGACTGGACTGTCCCCCATGTCAGAGGCCAGCCACAGGCCCTAGGCTGTGACCCCTACTTCTGACCGGCTCTAAGTTGGGGTTCCAACAGCCCTTTCATTGGATTTGATTACTTTGCCAGAAAAGCTGATGTAACTCAGGAGCACTTTACTCCCATTTTCCCCTTTGTGGTCCAGTATATCACACAGGATGCAGACAGACACCTAGACAGGGGAGATGTGCAGGGCCAGGTGTGGGGAGAGGGCTCTCCTGGGCTCACCTCACTCTAGGGACTTCCATATGCTGAGCAGTCCAGGTGCCCTGAGAACCCTAGCCTTCTGGGGTTTTATGGAAGCTTCATTACCTAGGCGTGGCTGATGACATCGCGGTGACAAAATATTAGAAATGCGAATTGAAAGGACCAGGGCTATTGGTGACCAACTCAAGCTCCAGCGCTGCCTGGAGGTTGGGGTGCGACTGAAAGCCCCCACCTCTAATCACGCTGTGGTGGTTCTGAGCGCCAGCCCCACCCTGAAGGCATCTCGGGCTATTGGCACACGACAGACATGCAGATCACTGCAGAGTCCAAAGACATGAGGATCTGTATGCTGGGGGCCAGAGTCACCGAGAGAATATTCCAGCAAAAGATCTCTGAGCACCCTTGCCTGTAGGGTTTTAGGGGCTCCTTCTAGAAACCTGGACAGAGACTGAATGTGATGCATTCTGACTGCACAGTGGCCACAGTGGAACACCTGTGTCGAGACAGACGCCCTCATTCCCTGTGTCGTACACTTGTGGGACCTGCTCTGGGTCCACCGCCAAGGGCAGCCGAGTCGGTGTCTGAGCCGTGTGTGGCTCTGAAGAGCTTGCTGTTGACTCAGGCTCAGATGGGGTCCTGGGCTTGGTGGGCTCAAGCGTGGGGCAGTGGTCCCATGACCTCCCTGGCTCATCTTCAGAGAAATGCAAGGGGCTTGAAAACATTGATGGCAGAAGTGCAGTGAGAATAGAATGCTGTTGTCCTTTTGCAGACAGCTTGTAGCCTGAGAGTGGGCTTCCAAGACTCCTTCCTGAGCTGGCATGCAGTCTTCTTTCTCTGTGGGCCTCAGGGGTGTGTGTAGGGCTGAGCACAGGCCCAGGCTCAGCTCCCTGCCGCTGCTGTTCCGACTATGGAGGAGGAAGAGAGCGGGGCTCCTGCGTAGCTTTGGCTCATGAAGGAGAATCCCAGCTGCCTGGCTTTTGGACAGAGTGCCCGGGGCAATAAACACCCTTAGAATTAAGCCCACACACTCCAGTCACATCACGCAGGCCAAGCACTTTAGCAGTTCTGGTTCTAGATCGCTGCCTTCCTTAATGGGCACAAAACAGGACGAGGTGGGGGGAACGGAAATCACTCAATTAGAAGATGAAGCTGTGACCTGCAACACTGGGCAGACCTCCCCTCGCCCGGCTGCTCCAGTGCACGTGGCCAGGTGACTAGAAAACGGGAGCCCTGGCACTCAGTAGTGACAGTGCAGCTGGTAAAGGCTCACCTGTGCCCCTATAGATGCCCGGGGCCAGACCAGCCACCTGAGCTGGATCATAAACGGACCGTTTATTCTGTGCTCATACCTGCACCTTCTAAGTTAACGAAAGGGATTGCTAGCAGGGCCTAAAGAATGGAATGGAATGGCTCTTAAGTGAAACCCCTCATCCACAGCATTTCAAAGCCTAGTACGCATGGTTCATTCTTAAATTCTGCAAAGACCGAGACATCATACTGCTGTAAGAGTCCCTTGGTTAAATAGTTGACAAAGCTCCCACCTGGGAAGTATTCATTAAGCAAAGGAGCTCTCGACTTCTTTACAGCATCCCATTTTCAGTGTTGTTTTTTTAGAAGAATGCATGAGGGGGCCAGCACTGTGGTGTAGCAGGTAAAGCTGCCATCTACAGGGCCGGCATCCCATATGGGCGCCAGTTCAAGTCCCGGCTGCTCCACTTCTGATCCAGCTCCTTGCTAATGTGCCTGGAAAAGCAGTGGAAGATTGCCCCAGTGCTTGGGCCCCAGTACCTGCTTGGGAGACCTGGAAGAAGCTCCTGGCTCCTGCCTTCGGATCCGCGCAGCCCCAGCCATTGCTGCCATTTGAGGAGTGAACCAGTGGATGGAAGACCTCTTTCTTTCTGCCTCTGCCTCTCTGTAACTTTACCTTTCAAATAAATAAATAAATACTTTTTACAGAAAAAGAATGCATGAGACCCCAGGCCTCATTTCTTTGGCCTGTTCTGTGGGCTCGAGGGGTGTGTATGGGCACATCTGAGAAAGAAGGGGAGCTGAGAGGCTGTGGAGTGAAACTGAAATCCACTGACGTGATGTCATTCAACTGACAGCTTCCTGTTGCTTTGTTCAGTTGTTCTGTGTATAACAGTGACAGTGTCACCCTGAAACTGTGCTGTAGAATGGGAAATGTAATGGAAAAAAATGGCCGCTCAGGATCGTATTTTTCATCACAGGATTCTCAGGTTCCTGGCTTCGTAGGGAAGAATCAATATTGAATCCAGTTGTGTTGGCAAATACACAAGTTTGAAAAGACTACAGAGGGACATCAACAACACTAAAAGTCCGAGAGCATTAATGTCCAAAAACATAAATACAGATTCATTACTGCTAGCATGTTTGAGGAAGTTTGTTTTTTCCATGGTTTTATATCTGTGTACACTGTGTACACTGCTGTGTAGTGAGCACGTGGTGGTGGACTTTGAGTCAGTTGTCCACCTCCTGAAACACTGTAACTTCTTGCTCATTTTCTGGCTGAAGGGTTGGGTTCTTGTTTTGTATCTCGTTTGACTGGCACAGAGGCTGAGTTCTCAAGGGACCCATCATGGGAGCAAATACATTCCTGCAATATGTGGTTAGTCTGATTCAATCAAGCCCAGTGCCTGCTCATCTGTCACCCAAGCCACTCTTGCGGTTCTTGGCTCAACAAATTATTATGAAAATGGTTTCACGTCTGCTGCCAATGGTAATGTTGCCTGCTTCCAGCTTTAGGGAGGATATTTACAGTATTTCTATCAGTGTTGAGTCGGATTGGAGCAAAACCAAGCAATCTCTACATCTGCTTATACTTAGAAGCAATTCCTTTCACGTGTGCAGGTCATGCAGTGCCGGCTCTGACGTGACCTGGTTGTGTAGGACTTCAGTGGCCTTAATAGCTTTGAATTACCTAATGGAAATATATTTTGGAAATAGAAAATAGTACACAGTCTTGGCGAGTAATTCCTACCATGGTATGGGATTTGATATTGAAAGAGGAAAAAAAAATAAAGCTCTTGCTGCCAGCATCCAAGAGAATACACATAGAATTTTCTTTTATTTTTTCATAAGATGGCTCATCAGGTTGAAGGGAAGAAATAACATTTACTGAGAGTGCTTTTTGAATTCTCACAAGAACGCCATGGAACCAGCGCTCTTAGCCCAGTTTTACAAATGAGGAAAAGAAGTCAGCTGGGGTAAGGAGAGGGCTGATTGACAGCTGCCCATCAGGAAGGAGTGAAACTGGGTTTTCGGCTTAGAGCTGATGTGCTGCCTTCCTCTGCTCCCAGAGCTCGACTTGTGTTTCGTTTCCTCTCGGATGTGGAGCATTGCTTTGGGTGGCGCTGTTCCCTTTAGAGAAGCAGAGTGCAGCCCCAGTGGCCCTGTTTCTGCTCTCCCAAGGGGTCATTGCCCTTCCTTAACAGGCTCAGGTTTCCTCCCCCCGCGAGTGGCAGTGGGGACGATGTCTCCAGGTTCACAAGCCCTGCCTGTCCTGACTGCTGGCCTGGGACAGAAGTCACTTACAGGGCTGCAGAGCTCTGTGCTGGGCCAGCTGCCTCCTTCCTTGCATGTGGGGGCATGGGCGCAGGGGACTTGTTTTTCTAGTTGGAGGGGCAACAAGGAAATTCAGGTTGCAGCAGAGGAGCGCTCCTCCGGGGAGTGCACGCAGGGAGGCTGACCCCTCTGTGGCTGGGGAGGAAGGGGATGGAAGCTGTGGGCACGGGTGTATATTTAGATCCTTGGGAGGCACCTTTCAGTGACAGTGAGTGATGGAATTATGTTTTTGTTAACAAATGAGTGAGCTGTGCTGTGGTTTTTAACCATGTAGCATTTTGGATACATAGGGTGCAATAATAATAGTAATAGTAATTAATAACAGCAGTAATTGACAGGGTGCACAGTGTCCATGAAGCCTGTGCTGGGTGGGCCCACTGCATGGCCCCTTACGTGTGTTTTCATTCAACCCTCAGGCAACCCAGGAAGCATTTCTCACGCGCTTGGCCCACTTCCTTTGCCCCTAAGTCACAGCACAGAGTAGCCGGCTGCTCCTGCCACGTTAGCGCAGCCCCCAGGGGTGGCGAACCTGGGCCCCTGTTGTCATCCGGAAGTAAGGCCAAAGCAAGCCGAGGGCCACTGTGAAATCAAGAAGTGCAGCTCAACTGTATGCCTCTTTCTTGGCAGTCAGATAAAGAATGATGGATGGCCAGCGCCGGGGCTCAACAGGCTTATCCTCCGCCTTGCGGCGCCGGCACACCAGGTTCTAGTCCTGGTCAGGGCGCTGGATTCTGTCCCGGTTGCCCCTCTTCCAGGCCAGCTCTCTGCTGTGGCCAGGGAGTGCAGTGGAGGATGGCCCAAGTGCTTGGGCCCTGCACCCCATGGGAGACCAGGAGAAGCACCTGGCTCCTGGCTTCGGATCAGCGCGGTGCGCCGGCCGCAGCATGCCACCCGCGGTGGCCATTGGAGGGTGAACCAACGGCAAAAGGAAGACCTTTCTCTCTGTCTCTCTCTCTCACTGTCCACTCTGCCTGTCAAAAAAAAAAAAATGATAGACAGAGTCACAAAGGAGATCTGAGTAACTGGCCATGTTTATTTACCATCCCTTCTCTGTAACCCTGCCTCAGCTGTGCTGCTCTGGAGCACGACTGCCCTGCCCGGGACGGCTCCGTGCCGGCGGCTCTGCGCCGGGCCTGCAGGTGTTCCGCATGGGCAGCTCCAGTTTTAGTGACCCAGGCAAGGTGACAGCAGTGCTGGCCTGGACAGGCGTGGAAAAGGCTCATCAGAGAGGCCACTCAGGGTTCCCACCCTGAATACCAGACAACCCAGGCCACGTTGCTAAGTGGACATCTGTGCTACTCAGGACAGAGGACTCAACTTTCAGACCCAGCCATGTGCTCGGGATGACACATAGATCAATAGCATGTGTCACCTGCTGATGTCACAGCCGCTTGAGCTTGGGCGCGTATGCTGTGAGATGTTTCATAGCAGCATTGCCTAATGAGACATTTCTCAGACTGCGGCCCTGACGTTAAGTGACATGTGATTGTGTATGTATCTGTCTGTGCAGGGACAAACATGCCATCCTCATGACAGGCTACAGGGTCTGTGGCCCAGCATGTGGCCCCTGGAATCACCGGGCTGGGCTTACATCTGGCCTTGCCACCAGCAGTGACAGTAGCCCTTGGACAAGTTCTTGAATCTTTCTGGTTCCGTTTCCAGCATTGTAAAATGGACTTAGCCACTGCCCTGTCTTTGTGGGGTATTTAGGTAAAACAACCCCTAGTTATTACATCAGGCATTGCCTGGTGCATTGTTACTGCCTAATAATTGTCACCCAGGATGGTGTTTATGTGAAGTTCCTCCTCTTCGTATTGTGCTGACTATAACATAGTAAAACCAGCTTTGCTTTGTGTAGACTGTTAGCATTTCCTAAACGTGTCTGCTCGTTCACACCTCACAGCTGCCCGAAGAAGCACGTGGATGGGTGATGTAGGTGAGGAAACAGATCCCGCGGGGCTGGTCACCGCCGGGAGTTCACCTGAGTCACAGCCCTGCTTCTTCCCACTCTGCTGTGTGGGAGGGCCCTTCAGCAAGTTTTTGGGAGATGGAATTAGAAAGTTTACTTTGGTGTGAACATTTTTTGAAATCCCAGCATTAGATGTTCAAAAAGTTCATGAAAATGTGTATTATGGCAAAACTGAATGGTTTCCAAAATCTTTGTGCACCAAAATAAATTTAACTTTTAATTGCACCTTCTGTGAACGTTTTGCAGTCCTTGTGCTTCTGTAGCATAGTCTCCCCTGGTTGGCTTCCCGTGTAAGAAAGACTCAGGCATCTCTCCCCGCGTTGGGCAGCTCCGTGCCATTGGAAAGCCTGTGGGGCACTTGCGGGTGAGCCCCAAGCATGCAGTCTTTGGTCAGGAAGCCCCAGGGCGTGGAGAGTTCTCGGGCCACTCTGAGGCCCTGTGTTTATCTCAGGCCGCTCTGAGGCCCTGTGTTTACTCCTTTTACAACCGTCCTCTAACACCTGACCCTGAGAGTGCTCTAGTGCAGGGGTTATTATTGGCTTCTTGGAATCCAGCCCAGTCTGACTTAAGGATATTCAGCAGGTTTTTGAACACAGCCATGGGTTTTCCTAGAATTGGGAAGGACGACGCACACTGGGTCTGGCCTTGGAGTTTCTGTGCTGCAGAGAGTGTGAGGACCTGAGTGTGTTGACTGCTCTGCTCACCCTGGGTGCTCAGGTGTGGGATGTTTGACCTTGGGCATTGTACACCGAGCTGTTCAGCATCTCAGCACTACTCATCGAGTGGTGGCTGTGATAGTACTCCTCTCACAGGGGTGTGAATTAATGCCTACTGAATGCTCAGAACTGTGCCACTGAACGTGCTGTGCGAATCTTGGAGAGTTGTTCGGTTTTTCTTTCCATTGACTTTTTATCCACAGTGACGAGCCCAGGCTAGCCTGGTACAGAGACGGGGCTCAGTTTGTGTTGGTGACAAGCACAAAGTGACCTTTTGCCTTCAGCAGTGGCTGTGGCTTGCTGATGAAAGTTCTCTGAGACTTCAGCCAAGAGGCCATGTTTCAGGAGCTGGGGACACAGGGCAGCTGCAGTCACAGCCACAGCTTGGGGTGCCATTGCATACAGGCGCATAGTCCTGCTGTTCCCAGTCCTGGCACCCCACTGGCATTTGTCATCTCACAGAACTTCAGGTGAAAGCCACCTCCCAGGCTTTGTGGCTCCGTCAGTCACTTCCTGTGACCTGTTGATGAGTCCCTGCTGATCCTCCTCAGAACCGGGAAACTCAGTCTTCATGGGTTAGCCAGCTCGCCTGGGGAAGGGCAGCCTCCTTTCCCTGGGGTGCGCTGGCTGCCGCCTGCATTCCACCCACACTGGCAGAAAAACACGATGACAGCACTTGAATCCTCCAGTCTTAGCACTGTGCCACGTCCTGTGCTCTGTGCAGGTGGCCTGGTGGAGAATGAAGAAGAGACGCCCAGCTGCCCTTGGGAGGTCTCTAATGTAGATGGGAGGTGCATGTAGAGGAGCAGAGTGGGATTAAGCTTGATACAATTGCTGTTAAGAAGCAAGCTGGGCGTTAGGCGAGGGAAGAGATCCACTTCCTCGCAGTCCCTGGGGTTATTGTGTGTTGGGGAGAAGTGTCTCAGGAGTGTCCCAGTGGTGGGGAGAGAGCCACCCAGCTGTGACTGGGGAGACTTGGCTTCCATGCAGAAAACACAGCGTGTACTGACCTCGAGATGGGAGCAAGCTGCCTGTGTTGGAGGAAGCGATGTGGGTGCTGAGTGAGGAATGTCAGGTGACAGGGGTCGGCAGTGAGCAGCTGAGATTGGGATGTTATTCCACAGGAGTTAGGAAGCTATTACAGGGTTTCAAGCAATAAAGCTGACTGTCGATTGGAGACTGGAGTTGGTGAGAGAATGTTACCAGGCTATGGGTTTGGTGGGGTGGGGGGGTTGCTGTAAGATCAGAACTGGGGAGATGAGTTACAGGGCACCGGCCATGTTGCAGGTGAGCAAGCGATGGCAATGGGAGTGCAAGAGAGGAGAGGATGGTTTGTGTGTGTTGTGAAGGTAGAATCCATGGGGGCCAGCGCTGTGGCTCAGCAGGTTAATGCCCTGGCCTGAAGCGCCGGCATCCCATATGGGTGCCAGTTCTAATCCCAGCTGCTCCTCTTCTGATCCAGCTCTCTGCACTGGGAAAGCAGTGAAAGATGGCCCAATTCCTTGGGCCCCTGCACCCACATGGGAGACCTGGAAGAAGCTCCTGGCTCCTGGCTTCGGATCAGCACAGCTCTGGCCATTGCAGCCAATTGGAGAGTGAATCATCAGATGGAAGAGTTCTCTCTCTCTGCCTCTCCTTCCTCTGTGTAACTCTGACTTTCAAATAAATAAATATTAAAAAAAAAAAAAGGTAGAATCCATAGCCCAGGCTGATGGGTGGAACAAAGAGGAGGAAGGAAATGAGATGATGATGGGGATCATGCTATGCGTTGAAGATGGTCAGAAAGCAGTTGGTGGGTCTCCCTCTTGGGGCCCCGCCATCATTCAGAGCTGGGTTGACTCTGGCAGGACAGTGCTCTCCCTAGACAGAGCTGGCATCAGCAAAGGCTTTAATAGTACAGAACTCTGTGCTTGTTTGTAAAGTGCTGTGCTGCTGGCTGGGAATCACTGACAATATATAGATTTTTTTTTAATTTATTAGACAGGCAGAGTTATAGACAGTGAGAGAAAGAGACAGAGAGAAAGGTCTTCCTTCCATTGGTTCTCTCCCCAAATGGCTGCTACCGCCAGTGCTGCAGCAATCTGAAGCCAGGAGCCAGGTGCTTCTTCCTGGTCTCCCACATGGGTACAGGGGCCCAAGCACTGGGCCATCCTCCACTGCCCTCCCAAGCCACAGCAGAGAGCTGGACTGGAAGAGGAGCAGCCGGGACTAGAACCTGGTGCCCATATGGGATACCAGCACCGCAGGCCGAGGATTAGCCAAGTGAGCCATGGTGCCGGCCCTGACAGTATTTTTTTTTTTATTTTAAAGATTTTTGTTTTAATTACTTGAAAGACTTAAAGGAAGAGAGAGAGAAAGAGAGGTCTTCCATCTGCTGGTTCACTCCCTGAATGGCCACAGTGGCCAGAGATGGGTCGGACTGAAGCCAGGAGCCAGAAGCTTCATCCAAGTCTCCCACGCAGGTATGGGGGCCTAAGCACTTGGGCCATCTTCCACTGTTTTTCCAGGCCATTAGTAGGGAGCTGGATCAGAAGTGGAGCAGTAGGATCTCAAACTGGTGCCCATATGGGTGCTGGCACTGCAGATGGTGGCTTTACCTGCTATGCCACATCGCCTGCCCCCACTAATAATATTAAGAATAAAATATTAGGCCAGCACCGTGGCTCAATAGGCTAATCCTCCACCTGTGGCACCAGCACACCGGGTTCTAGTCCTACTCAGGGCGCCAGATTCTGTCCCGGTTGCCCCTCTTCCAGTCCAGCTCTCTGCTGTGGCCTGGGAGTGCAGTGGAGGATGGCCCAAGTGCTTGGGCCCTGCACCCGCATGGAAGACCAGGAGAAGCACCTGGCTCCTGGCTTCAGATCAGTGCGGTACGCTGGCCACGGCATGCCGGCCGCAGCAACCATTGAGGGGTGAGCCAACGGAAAAGGAAGGTCTTTCTCTCTGTCTCTCTCACTGTCCACTCTGCCTGTCAAAAAAAATATATTAAAAACAATCAACATCTGACATTTTTCAAGCCAGTATGCTACATGTTGTGCAGACATGATGTTCGCAAGAGTTAGGAGTAGATTATTTCTATTTTATCAATGAGAAAAATCAAGGCTGGAGTTGATTAAGTGAGCAGCCCAAGGCCCCCTAACAAATGCAAAATACTGGATTTCAATCGAAAGCCTCGGCTCATGTCCACCAGCCAGTTACTCTGCATGGTGGCGTCATTCTTTATTTTGCAAGAATTCTACTTTTTCCCACCCCTGGAACTAGCAGCACATCGTTAATCCACATTACTTAGGAGGGATTTGACATAATGTCCCTCCCACAGCCTGATGAATTAATGAAGGAGCAGCAGTTACGCAAGAGTGACATAGCTCCTGACCTACGTATTTGCTTGTTTACACGTGCAATGTTAGAAGCACCCTTAAATCAGAAAGCTGTAAGCCAGGCAGAGTAAATAATTTCTGTGGCTGACTTGGGGAGATACTTTCAATTAATTTGGGCAGGATCATATGTGAAGTTCGTAAGGATTAGAGGGAGAAAATGACTTTCTTATTTAGCTAAAGCTTGTGTTATCCTCCAGGTAAACATGGTAATGCCTTCCCAAGGAAGAGAAGTGTCAACAGCCGCGGTGATCAGGGAACCGTGCACCGCACGTCAATAATTAGAAGCAGGGCCCCCAGGGGCCTCGCGAGGGAGTTCGCAGCAGGATGCCCTTCTCTTGGTGAGCCTGTCTCATGCCGTGGTGAAGCCTTGCCACCTTGGTTTTGGGAGCTGTGGCATCACAAGTGGATGCTGAAGCTGAAGCGCTCAGCTGGCTGCTCAGTGCCAGGAGCCAGATCCTGCCGCCGTGTTTGGGTGGGTGGCAGACCGTCCCTTGACTTCCAGCGGCCCAGCCTGCAAAAGTGTTCAAAGTTTATCCACCCTGTCCATGGTGTCAGTGACCACGTTCTGGGCCTTGAAAGACAGACCGTCATCAGTTAGCGTTTTGTTCAACCAAGGTAATCGTTAGCCTTAATGAAGTTTCATTAAGAGTAATGGGCTCATTAAGCATAAAATGGCTTGAAAAAGCTTAACTCTCATCATTTCTTAGAATAACTCAAACCTTGGCTAAGAAGGCTGACTTTCACCTTTGTGCAACAAGCAATCAACATTTAATTAGTTGAGAGCTTTGATTTGTTGATTACAGCACATCCAGGGCGTGAATATGTATGACATTCTAAGAGCAACAGATGCTGATCAGCCACAGCTTTTCTGAAGCTCCTTGTCCAGCGGGTTTAAAAGGCTCACAATGAATATGGATGCCAGCGATTATTTATAGAATAACTCTTCTATTCCCATCCTTAGCCTTTACAAAGTTATTTTTGAGTTTACTGTGACCTGATTTTTAATTCCAAGAGAAGAATGCTTTGCTGTTATTTTCTTTTTCGAAATGTGCGTTCCTCAAATAAAGGAGACAGGTTGTGAACATCCAGCTCACTCATTTACAAGCTGGGGAAGCGATTGTTGAGTTCACACAAAGCTTTTGCATGCTATTCAACACGGTTTTTAGTTGTTGGTTCTCCTGGAGGCAGTCCTGCATGCTGGGAACCCCCAGAAATGGATGTGTCAAGTGCATCTGTAGATGTGTGTTCTTGCCAACATCTCTTTCAGGATGCGTGCAGTCGGGTCTCAAGTAGAGTTCAATGCCAGGTTGTTGTGAGCATTCGTCTGGCTTCTCTGGTTTGTCCTGTTGCATGAAGCCTCCTGAGTTTCCTTTTCTTTGCAAAACAAGAAGAATATTTTGAAGGCATTCAAATATGGATTAGCAGTTTATTCACGGGACGAGTGTTTTGGCCAGATTCTGAACAAGTAGGGAAATCATTCCCCTACTGCCCCATTCTTTAATGTTCTCCTGCTTGCTCTCCTGGTGTTGGGATTGAGGCCGCGAGGATGTGCTGCAGCTCCTGGGGTGCTGGTTATTATCAAGGTGGAGTCCTAAGAATGGGGTCAATGTTACTTGGGAATGATTGCATCCAGTGATGCAAGGCACACGTTCTGCTCAGATGACTGGCAACACACTGTGCTTCTGCAGTCTTGAGCATCCCTGTGTGATGAAGTGTTCAGGCACAGACTCTGCAGCTGGGGGCAGGGAAGCTGAGGAGTGGAGCCACATCTGGGCCTCAGCTGGGCTGAGAGCTGTGTGACCGATTGTGCCTCAGTTTTAGTGTGCGTTTCAATCACCCGGGCTTTCTCTTATTTCCCCCTCTGTTTAATGGAACTGACTATATTTTTAGTGCAGGTTCTTCCAAACTAACGGTGAGCTGATGGATGAAGATGATGATGAAGAACAGACAGCATATACCATTTACTGGTCTTTGTCTGGATTGGGATTACGTAGCAGACCTTCCCAGTGCAGTACACAAGTACATTTGTTTTTCTTGCCATATTTCTAGCAGAAAGGGGATATTGCATTGCTTGTTCAAATGAAGTGTGCACATGAAGTATTTTCAGATGTTAACGTTGGAGTTGGCACCAGAGCCTGGCACCAAACGTGGTATCTTTGGGAATTAGTTAATAAGGCTCTGTTTCTATTAGCAGAGAGAATATTAAAATTCTCCCCCAAACAGCTTGCTGTGTGACAGTGGCTTTGTTGCAGTGGGATAACAGGAGCAGAGCACATTATTAATTTAGAGACGGCGAGGCAGAGCTGTCCTCTCCCCCTTTAGAATTAAGTGATGAGAATGGGCATTTGTGAAATTGACTGAATGCTCTTCAGGGGATGCTTATTAAAATCCTAACATCGTTGCAGAGTTTTGTAGCAGATTCATTATCAGCTGTAATCTTATTAGGACTGTTTTGTTTTGTAATCACCATTCCATCCATGGAGCCCCTAGGTGCACGCCAAGCCTCTCTGCTGGTCTCTCCCTTCTGGTCAGCTTCATTCTGATGAATTAATTCCTCTCCTCTTCTGCCGATCAGGCCCTTCGCTTACCCTCTCACTCAGGGTTGGACATTGTCTTACTGATTTCTTTTTCTCTCCTCCTGGACCAACTCAACAGGACAGTTGCCTTGATGTATGCGTTTTTGTTCCTCAAAAACAGTATTCTGCAGGTGTCACAGACAGCTTGCCTGCTGCATTGTGAAACAGAGTGGGCTTGCGGGATAGATCCAGTATCGGTTCACAGTGTCACCATCACAACTCCTTGATTCCTGTCCAAAATGTCCTAAACAAGGCGTCTTTACAGAACCAGGTTTAGGTTCATATTCCAGCCTTGGGGAAACTTTTACACTACTGTAACCCTTCCTTTCCTTATTTTTAGAAGAGCCATTCATTCATTTTTCCATCCACTGATTTGTCTAGTGACAAGTAAGTACCTATCAGGTGCTGAAGATAGAATAGTAGACAGACAGGAAGGCCTGCCTTCCTGAGCTTAGATCCTGCCGACAGGGACAGTCAGGGGAGCAAGTGAGATGTTAGGGTCTCTTAGTGTGAGAGCTACGGATGAAAAATAGGGCAGGACAAGAGCTGACTTTTTTTTATTGATTGGGTGGGGGGTGATATTGAAATTTTAGATTGGGGCAGAGAGGGCTTCACCGTGATGGTGGCAGTAAGCAAAGAGCAGAAAGAAGTGCTGAGGCAGGTGGAAGACGTCTGGGAGAGAGGACAGTAGACAGGAAGCTGAAAGGGGGCACGCGTGTGTCTGAGGAATTGCCGGAGTGTCTGGAGGAGAGTTCAGAGCAAACAGTTCTGGGGGCGTGGGCAGTGAGAATGGAGAGGCCGCGGGGCTGTAGCAAATTTGGAAGCTACTTCTAAAAATGGATGGAGAAGTAGAACTACGAGATAAGGTCAGTGTGGTGCCAAAGTTTTTTTTTTTTTTTTTTTGACAGAATTAGAGAGAGAGAAAGGTCTTCCTTCCTTCCATTGGTTCACCCCCCAAATGGCTGCTACAGCTGGCGCGCTGTGCCGATCCGAAGCCAGGAGCCAGGCACTTCCTCCTGGTCTCCCATGTGGGTGCAGGGCCCAAGCACCTGGGCCATCCTCCTGCACCCCCTGGCCACAGCAGAGAGCTGGCCTGGAAGAGGAGCTACCGGGACAGAATCCTGCGCCCCGACTGGGACTAGAACCCGGGGCGCTGGCGCTTCTTTGAGGAGGGTGAGTTGTGTTCTCTTTAAAAGCTCCTGTGAATGGTGAAAAGGTCAAGGGCAGCACAGTGCTCCGGAATCCACAAGTGAGAAATCAACCCTGACACTCGCTGCTGGGTCTGGCATTTGGTGAAAGCAGCATCGCGTAAAGGATCATGCCGCAGATGGTGCACATGATGATGCAGAGTGCTGGGAGGTGGGTGACGCTGCCGGGCCAGCCCCAGGATGCACGCCCTCAGTTACGGCATTACCAGTTGAGTTCCCATAGGTGTTATCTATGAACGATGAGAAGCCATAACCAAGGAAGGCACGGCTGAATTTTCACCTAACCGTGGGGATGGTTGGCCTAAAACCCAGAAGCTTCATTTGGCTACACTAAAATTCGAAGATTACCTATCCAAAAAAAAAAAAAGCAAAGCAAATTAAAAAACATTTACCTAAATCAAAGAGATGCCAGCCATAAAATACAACAGCAGTGACAAATTAATAAAAACACTAAAACCTTAATAGATAAATAGAAGAAGGCATCAGGAAAGAATTGCATAAAATAGAGATAGACAGATAATTAACATGAAAAATGTTCAACTTCATCTGCATTCAGAAATGTAAAGTGAAAGAAGATAGAATCCGCTATTAGCCAATTCTTTAAAAAGGCAGTGTTTACTCTCTTCTGTTTTTGACAGCTGTCTAGCCCATCAGAATGGGGAATACAATGCTAGACACCATGAAAATATAAATTCTGGAAAGAAATGAGATACAAAGTGACAATCTAAAAACATAAAAGTGTGTGCTGTGCTCAACAATAATTCACCCTTGAGAAGCGTGTCCTAAAGAAATAACTTGTAGCTAGGACAAGGACATATGCAGAAATGCATGCACACTTATTGCAGCAGTATTTATGAAACCAAATATTGTAAAAAAAGTAGTTTACAAACCATGATGGTGGGTTCATTTTGGAAGTATTATATAATAGAATATTAAGGAAGCTTTTGTGTTTTTAAAATAATTATGTAGGAAATATGAAAAATAATATGACAAAGTTTATGAGTCCAATTTTATAAGAAGAAATATTGATATAAATATAAGGAAACAGACTCTGAGATGTTCAAGAGTGACAGTTTCATAAATTATTTTACTTTCCTATTTTTGTGCACTTCTGTTTTTTTTAAAGATTATTTATCTATCTAAAAGGCACAGGTATAAAGAGGGAGGGATAGAGGGAGTTAGGGAGAAAGAGAGAGAGAGGGAGAGAGAGATCCATCTTCCATCTACTGATTCACAGCTGGGGTTGGGCCAGGTTGAAGTCAGGAGCCCGCGTGTCCTGTGTCATTGTGGGGGCCCAGGCACTTCGGCCATCTTCTACTGCTTTCCCAGATGCATTAGCAGGTAGCTGGATTGGAAGCAGAGCAGCTGAGATTCAAAGTGGTGCTTGTATGGGATGCCTAACCGACTGCCACAGTGCCAGCCCCAGTTGTCCATGTCCACCGACGGCCTGCTCAGGGAGGTCATTCCTTCCCATGGCACAGGACCCCAGAGCTCCTGCATGTCTAAGGTCCAGGGTAGCCTTTGCTTGTGTGGTTGGGGAGACTTGTGCCTAAATGGGTTTTGGAGAAGTCACAGAATCAGCGAGTGTCCCCCGACCCCCAGGGATCCAAAGAGCATGAGGACTTGATGACGTCGTCAACACTAAGGGGACGGTTTTCTGGCAGGTGTCCCAGCTGCGTTGTTCTTAGGTCACAGCAGTGTTGGTTCCCAACCCTTCTTGCCTGGATTCCTCCCCCTGTCAGTGTGGCTGACTTTGTTATTTTCATTGTTGGGTGTCCATTTTCTTAATGTTCGATGTGGGTCATCTGCTGAGCTGGACCCGCTGAGGCAAGGCCCTCAGTGCCAGGATTCTATGGCTCCCCAAATTCTCTCTAAGCTCCTGTTGGATGCCTGGCACCCTGCTGAGTGCTGACCACATGGAACTTGCCCTCCTGGAGTTTATAGTTTAGGAGGGAGACATAGCAGTCAAGTGATCACCTTAAAGTAAGTTTTTTTTTTTTAAGATTTATTTATTTATTTGATAGGCAGAGTTACAGACAGGCAGAGGGAGAGATCTTCCATCTGCTCGTTCACTCCCCAAATGGCTGCCACAGCTGGATCTATGCCAATCCGGAGCCAGGAGCCTGGAGCTCCCTCTGGGTCTCCCACATCGGTGCAGGGGCCCAAGCACCTGGGTCATCCTCCATTGCTTTCCCTGGCCATCAACAGGGAGCTGGATAGGAAGTGGAGCAGCCAGGACTCGAACTGGCTCATATGAGATGCTGGTGTTGCAGGCGGATGCCTAACCTGCTATGCTACAGTGCCAGCCCTGAAAGTAAGTTTGAAACAGCACTAAGTACTGAGCGGAGTCTTCCCGGAGTTAACAAGGAACATCTGATGTAGTTCGAGGTGGTCAGTGAAGCCTTCCTGGAGAAAGCAGCACTGAAGATGGGGACTCAGGAGGCAGAGCAGAGCAAAGGAACAGTGCAGCCCGGGGTAGTGGCACGCCTGGATGCCCTGAGTGAGGACGGCATGGTTGGGGAGAGGCTCAGAAGGCCACAGTGCAGAGAGCAAGGGGATAGCTGGGGGAGACAGGGAGGAGGGCGCAGCTGAAGCCAGGCTCCCTGGGGCTGTGGAGGGTCCCTTGTCCTCTACAGCGGCTGCAGGGGGCTTACCGCAGGGTCTTAGGTGGGTGTGCAGGTCAGGTCGGGATTTGCCTTTTGTGAAGCTATCCCTGGCTGCCTGTGAAGGACAGGCTGGGAAGAAGAGCTGGAACTTGGGCTCTGCCATTGGGAGGTTGTTGCTATAGATCATCTTAGGCTGGATGGGAGGGAGGGGATGTAGAGATGCGGACGCGTAGAGGACCCTGTGGAGGGAATGGGTGTGGGAGGGCCTGGGCCAGTGATGGGGGAGAGAATGGGTGTGAAGGGAACAGCTCTCTGCATTGTGCTGGGTGAGTAGTGGATGGATGCTGATTTGATGGACTCAGCGGCACTGGGGTGGCCTGAGCAGGGTGCCCTCTTCCCTCTCTGTCCTCCTCTGCCCTGGGGCAGAGCATCCCAGTTACCCTGGGGTACCCTCGTTCTGTGCCCAGAACTCAGAGGCGTTCCTGAGGCTGCAGGGAATGCACGTGCCTGGAGTATTTGTCACTCAGAGCAGTGACATCTGCACCATGGCTCCCTGAGGCTGTGCCAGCATCCCTGGCGCTGCCTACCTGCCTGCTCCCTTCCCTGCCTGGGCGGAGTCAGCCGTCCTGGAGCGCAGACTTGAGGTGGGGACTGATGTGGCTCCCACATCAGGAACTGTGGGCCACCTCTTCTTCAGGCAGTGCCCAAGGTGGCATTCCCAACCCAAGGCCAAAGAGGGTGGCCGTCCTGCCTGGGCCCCATCTTTCATCCACTGCCCCAGCTCCTCCTCTTCCTCTGATGATGGAATGCTGATTTTTCAGAGTCAGTTTCATATCTTAACAAGATGCTTGAACATAGCCGCCTGCTTGCTTTGCTAAGGTATCTTGTTAAAAATTAACATTGGCCATCAGCACAGCACTACCGAGTTATCTTTTGAAATGGCGGTGAGATTCCAGTAAATTGCTTGCTGCCTGTAGCAAGGCAAGTTGAGAGGGGGAGTACCCACAAGAGAACTGTCCCTGGAAACCCCCCCCCACACACACACACAGCACTGTGGGGGCCCCTGCCCTGTGAGAGCAGACCCGGTGGGTTTAACAGCAATAAAAACCAGCTACACTCTGTTCCCAATGAGATTTAAAGAATCGGAAAATCCTAGAAGATTGGAGAACAGAGTTGAGAGTTGGAGGGGCCATTGAGAACCCGAGCGCAGGTGTGGTTCTGCTCTTGGGCTCCAGTGGACTCATTTGCTTCTGTTTGAGGGGGTATTTCTTATTGTTAAAGAAAGCAGAGAAGAGATGGATGGCCCTTCCTGGCATAGCGACTTTCATCGCAGACTGGGGCCTGACCTTTCTGTCGTTTGCACTCGCGTGTTGGGTGTGAAGAAAGTGGTGGTGGGAAGGTGGCTGCGTTAGTTGTGGTTGAAGCTGCCGAGCCTGGTTCGACAGGGCCGGGGTCGCATACGGTGCTGGGTGTGGATGGTGTCAGCCTCCTTTATCCAGAGGCTCTAAGCACAGATGGGGGTGCTGCTGCTGCCCGAGAGATGGGGTTTGGGGACGGCCAGGCAGGCTGTGTTGCTGAGTCCTGGTTTTGCTCTGGGCCTGCAGAGGACAGGAGTGAGCGGGGCTGTGTGGCAGAGGCTGGGTCACAGCAGGGAGCTCCCCTCCCCCAGGGAAATCAAGTGGGAGCTGGTGTGGGAAGCAGAGGTCTGGTCCTGGAGGAAGCAGAGGCTGTGGGAGGAGGGGAGGAAGACCCCTCGCCATCACTGCTGGTGGGCAGGGCTGTCTGCGTCATCTCTACCTGGCCAGCCATGGGCAGCCCGAGGCCAAGCCCGAGGAAGCAGAGAGTGAGCGCGACTCCGTCTTCCCTGCTTCCACCAAGCCAATTTGCTGCAGTTCCCCGCCTGGCCGCCTGTCCTCTTCTCCTGGGCCTTGCACAAGCCGTTCCCTGTGTGTCTCTCTCTCTCACTCCTTCTGGCTGCCTTGGCCTTCTGGAACCTGATGCCTTATTAACAAGTGGTTGAGAAGACCGAGGCCTGCACCCAGTGATGAGCGAAAGGGCTGTAGAGTGTGCAGAGTGTGGGA